AAACCAACTCTTCACAATAAAAAACTACGTTTTTTAAGTAAAATCCCCATGAGTGTATTTAATTTTAATTTGGATCCTGGTTTCATCAAAGGGAGGGAAACAAAGGAGCGACTCGGGTTACGTTAGTAGGTTTTCCCTTTATGATGTAAATGTTTTTTTCTAGTATTAAGCACTAATCATGAACCCAACAATTAGTTGTTTTCTTTAACCTATAGCGAAACTGCTTTACTTACCATATGATATTCATGCATTGTTTTTAAATGTTTGATGAATTGGCAAATCCATTTGGTGGACTTTGAAAACGATATGCGTTTTATTTTCTCCTTCTCCCCCACGTTAGTGTCTCTTACCTGAGGAGAACTATATGGGTTCAAATGCAGCAACAAATGGTTACATACAAGTTGTTGAATCGCCTCCTAGACGCAAAGCTGACGCTGCAGAATAAGAGCAGAGTCGAGGTAAACTCGCCGATCGCCGTCTGCTGCAGAGTCCCGAGCGGTTTCCTGGGAGCGATCTGAAGCCCGCCGGGGGTCGCTGCGCTCCGCGGGGAGCCCGCCGGCGTCGCCCAGCGGGACCACCGCATTGACCCGCGCAGCACGCCACAAAAGGCTTCGGTTATTGGCACAGCCTCGGCCATCAAAGCGTCATTGACCGGTACTCCCGGGGAGAGCCTTCCTCGGCCACAAATGCAGAGGGGGATGTAATATACGCATTCACATTGCTCCTCCTCCTTTCTGCAGACGGCCGCGCGGATCAATAGGAATCGATCGGACCCCGCCGCTCCGTGTGGAATTAGCATTTTGCAAAGGAACTGAGAAGTGGCATCGACCGGCGGTTTCTCCCATCAAAAAGGGGTGGGTGTGAGTCTCGGCCCCGACCTTCGACCTCAGAGTTTGAAGGGGCCCAAAAAAAACCTGCAGCTGTGGTCGCCATGGAAACATCCGCACTAAGGAGGTGCCGATTTTCAGTCTCCTCGGTACGATCGGGAGGGATAGCCGCCCTTTGACCCCCGACTAGATTGCTCTTATTTCCCATTGGTTCGCAAAGGCCTCTCGATACCTGAAATGAGATGTCGGAGTCTCTCTCGTGAAGTCGAGTCATAACTCGCTGTTATATTGCTTCACTCGGCTTTGTAACCTCAAGCGAAAGCTCTCAACTTCATTCTGGGGGGTGGACGCCATTAAAGAGTTATTGCTTTCGAAAGAGTCTCGTTTTTTTTCGGAGAAACAAACAATAAACAGGTTCAGTTGGATCAATCGCAGAGACGAACACAGCAGTTTTGTTTTCTCACCTTTTAAGTTCATATGACAAACTTCTTAATAAATTTGTAATCGTCACAGAGCAACATCATCAGGATAAGAGTCCGTGTGCTTCGGTCACCTCATGAATCAAGTTCTCTCTTTTAGCTCTAGTTTTGGTCTCCACCACCACCCTCCTGAGGGAAATAACTGTCTCTTCATCTTCTTCATGTTCCAGTGAGTCTCTTAACCAGTGTAGCGGACATCATTGTACATCATTGTAAAGTGTCATCTTATTGTAGGCAATTATGGGACTTTCAAGCAAGATTCTCATTTCTATCTATATATATAATTATGAATAGATTGATATTCCAGTATGGCTCTTTAATTCATACCACACTTTCTCTCCTAGCCATTGTTCCGGCTGTATATGTTAATAGGCGGACCAGAGGAACACTTCCACACAGCCCTGATTCCCTGAGTATGCTGCACGTGCTGCTGCTCCAAACATAGAACACCTCTGAGGCTCTTTGATGAAAATTGTATGGATTTCATTATGAGATACATGAATAGAGATGGAACCTTTTATTCTTAAAGTTTTTTAATCATTCCGTGATCTGTTGGCTGCAGTTTTAATATATAGACATCAAACTGGGCATCATCAAAAAGTAAAACACCAAAAGGTTCCATCCTGAACTACACTTTTTTTACCTTTTCTAATTAACACACTCGTGGCTTCAGAGGGATTGGGTATCGCTGTGTGAGTAATCTCTGACTTTGAAATAAATTAGAACCGACAAGAAGACAAGAAATTATTTTATTTGTCCGGATCTTTTCATCTTAAATCAGGAATCAGTAACATTTATTACCGAAATATGTTAGACGTACAAGGAATTTGACTTGGCGGTTGGTGCATAACATCAGACAAGACAATGGACAGCGGGAGACATAAGACAACATAGTGCAAGAACAACAGGAATTTAAATGTAAAATAAAAGTTAAAAATAAAAAGTTAAAAAAGTTAAAATTAAGTGCACCAGTGAACAGAAAGTGATAAGTGTGTGGAGTGTGAAGTGGGGGACCCGGGCTCTGTTTGTGTGGCGAACAAGTCCTGCAGGGACGGCAGATTGCAGCCGATCAGCCTCTCTGCAGAGCGGATGACACGCTGCAGCCGGCCCTTGTCCTTGGCTGTGGCTGCAGCGTACCAGACGGTGATGGAGGAGCAGAGGACGGACTCCATGGTGGCCGTGTAGAAGTGCACCATCATCGTCTTTGGCAGGTTGAATTTCTTCAGCTGCCGCAGGAAGAACAGCCTCTGCTGAGCCTTCCTGGTGAGCCCACCTTCACTGCCAGGAACCTCGGCGTGACACTCGACAGCCGACTCTCCCTGACTCCCAACATCACTGCGACAACGCGATCCTGTAGATACACGCTCTACCACATCAGGAGAATACATCCCCTTCTCACTCAGAAGAAGGTACTGATTCAGGTTCTTGTCATCTGCCTCCTGGACTCCTGTAACTCTCTCCTGCAGGTCTCCTGCTACCACCATTCCACCTCTGCAGCTCATCCAGAATGCAGCAGCTCAACTGGTCTTTAACCCTCCTAAGTTCTTCCACACTACTCCACTCCTCCGCTCTCTTCACTGGTACCGGTGGCTCATCCAGTTCTAAACACTGGATGTGGTCCAGCTTACATCAGGACATGGTCCAACCCGACATCCCGACCCGCACTCTCCGCTCTGCATCTGCCAAACTGCTTGTTCCTCCTCACTGAGAGCTGTACGAGACAAGAGGAGGGAAATCCAATACCCCCCCCACCCCCTGTGTCACCTAGTCAGTTTTTGTCTGTCCCCCCCACCTTGACAGAAATCCAGCAGTGAACCCAAACGGTCTGTCCGACCAGCAAGAGTGTGGCACACTTTGTTATTTGCCCAATTATCTGTCAGAGGTGAGATGTGGCAGAGCCATTGATCTGTTTGTATGTTTATATGACCCCCCCCACCTCCGCCCCTCTCCTCCGCGGCAGCATCCATTAGCGCCGCCTAGACTTCCGCTGACATTGGCCAATGAAGCTGCATTCTGTGTAGTGACCAGCAGGGGGCGACTCCTCTGGTCCCATAGAAGTCTATGAGAAAAATGACTCTTGATTTATTCCCTCAGTAAACATTGTAAACAACAAGAGTTTATGGTCTAAGTCTCTATGATGCTTTAGGGCGGGGCTACACATGTTTTTTGGTAGACCAAAAAATAATTAACTTTGAGTGGCCTACAAATGTCTCATTCAACATCCTCGAGGCAGCAGTCCAATGGGTGATGTCACAGTGGTATGTCCACTTCTCCTGTACAGTAATAATCAGTTATCCGTTGTGTTCTAGCATGCTGCCATATGAGACACGGCTGGCCATTGTGTCCACTAGTTTGTTGTGCTTTTCGCACAAATCAAACAAACAAAACCACAACGTAATGTTGACAATATGTCCCTTTTTTAAAGTGACTTTAAGCTGTTCCAAATGCTGCGAGAGTTCGATAAAATGCAGCATCCTGCGACGCCATCAGAATTAATTAGAAAAACAAGCGTCTCCCTGGATTATTCTGAAAGGCCAAATCTCCTCTGTGTGCACGAGCAAACAGTCAATCAGCAGGGAGTTGAGCTCAGCGGCGCCGACTCACTAAAGCTCTGAGGTTTAAAGCGCCGGTGCTGCTCTCCCTGGTCAACTCCTCCCTTCTCACTCCCAACATCTCCGAGCCCACCGGGTCACAGCTGCCTGTCGACCCATTAGAACACTGCAGTGCATCTGGTCCTGGTGCATGAATGTGTGTTACACGTTGATGCAAAACAATGTCTCCCCACATACATGGAGTGACTCTCCCTTTACTATGGATATACTGTGTATCTGCACTGTAAATCTTCAATTTGCAAGGACGATGTTTTTACGATGAAGTATTCATTCAGAAATGTAACTTAGATGCTTCAAACAACTCTTAAGGTGGAATGTTTTATATTATATAATAATCTAAAATTATATTATATTATATAATTTGATGGCCAGGCTGTTATTTTTCCGTTCCTTACTTTTTCTTCAATTGTTCATTGAGCTTAAACTAGTAGATGGTAGTTGGTTGGGCTTATTGGTCGGTCTGTGCGTTCGCAGCTGTTCTTCATTCTCTCTGCTGGTGATTTGATCAACCCAAACCTCACAGAGAGTAAAAGTCGGGGCCTCCAGAGGAAACAACAAACGGCTGGATGGGAACACGTTGTTTGTTGTTGGCAGTTGGGAAGGTCACATCACAAATGTGTTGGCGTGAGTCAGAATGTGAGCAGTAAGCAGCCCGTCGTTGCACATGCACCTGCTCTACTGCAGGCAGAGGCGCCACCGTGCTATTTTGGTGTCACGGCCTTTTTGACGGGCGCAGCCTTTTATTGAATTAATTAGCCAATCAGACGGTTGCTAAGAAAAGTAGGTAATGTGTGCAAAGTATTCCCTAACTTCAGAGACAAAAGTGAAGTCGGCACCCTGTGACGAGTGAACGCGTCAACGTTTTCCTTTCGGAAGTTGGCTGGACGGCTGCAACACAGCGGTTAATCTCTCTGTGTTTCCTCGAGTGAAAGAACCTTTACGCCACGTTTGTTTGCATGCCCCCCCCCCGTTGGATTACTCAACAAAAAGCTGTAAATATGCAAAGCAGATTAATTGGTTTCCCAGGGTCACCTGTACAGAAGAGGGCTCGCACGGATTCCATTGATATTAGCTTGGGACTTAACACGGCTCCACCCCCCCCCCCCAAAAAAAAGTATTTCTGTTTAATCCGCAGCCTCGTAAAATAGCTGCGAGGGTTGGACTTGTTAGAGCATCTTAGTTCTGGTGGCTTTAACCGCAGGGTGAGCGCGCCGCACCTCAAAGTCCACGCTTCATTTGAATCCAGTCCCGAAAGCCGGCGAACTGGGCGTGCTGACTGCGGACGAGGCTCGTGAGCTCTAATCCTGGCGCCCCCCCGCTGTGTTCGTATTATCCGGCCGGATTAGACGGATACCTGCGTGCGCGTTTGCCAACGCGGTGGCTCAACTTTTGACTTGGTAACAGCGACGGGTCAAATAATCCCGTGGTACGATCTGGGAAACACAGTCCTAATGTTTTTTTTAATTGTTTCCTGGCCGTTTGGTAGTTGACAACAGATTAAATCCAGGTGCTTGTTGTGCTGCTTCATAAACTATTTAGTTTGTGTCAGATTTCAACAACCAAAATGAAAAAATAACAATGAGATCTTCCATAATTACAAGAGTATGCAGTAATAAATAATTATTTGAAGCATAGTCTGTATAGAAGTGGACGTAGCTTACGTGACGTCAGGTTGTCAATTAATGTCAGTTAATGTCTTTGTAACAGACCTGTCAATCACTGTTTGCCCCAAGAGAGAGAGAAGTAGTCATTTTCTCATAAACTTCTATGAAAACCGAGGAGTCGCCCCCTGGTGGCCACTACAGAAAATACAGATTAAAAGGGCACCTTCATATTGGTTTCTCTCAGCAAACTGGTTCAAGCCATGAAAAATAGGGCCAATTTCAAACAGTTGATGGCATTTTTAGTTATTTTCAACCGTAAACTGCAGATTTTTATACATTTTGCTAAGAAATGTCAATATTAACGGCAGCATTGGTCTGTTTTAACAAAGATTTGTCGGACAAAATGAGCAAAACTCAAAAATATTCTATTTACAGTCACATAAAAGGGAGAAACACATTGAATCCTTAGAATTGAGAGGTGACCAAGTCTGATGGGTTTACCAAGAACATCTTATCTAACCTCCACCAACCACGCCCTCACATGGAGGTCTCCTTCTCCTTCTTCAGCATCTCAGCCTTAAACACCCTCAGACGGCTGTGATTGAGTGACCCTGGTTCAACCCACTTAAATGGTGCATTAAAGAGAATTAACTACACCATAACCGCATGGTACTGTAGCACATGACATGGTTCATTTATTCCCCTTAAGTGGATCCATAAGGAGCGACGGAATGAAATGGAGGCTGTAGAGTAGACAACAAAACACTGAATAAAGGAAAGACAAGGTGAAGCTTCACGTTGATGTCTACTCTTTCATCTGTGACCCTCTTCACCTGATGTGTCTCCAGCATGTCGGCCATGTGACTAAACTTCTCTTTGAAATGAGTTTGTTCTCACACTGAGCCAGAAGTCTCCTTCAGGAGCCCTTAAATCCACAAAACACAGCTTCGTTCCTCTGTGGATTCTGGAGGTTTCATTAAAAACGTGAAGAATCATTTTTATTCTTCAAATGTTCACATTTCTGTCCTGTAGATATATTGGATGTATAATAAGCACATATCTAAAATGTCCCCACCTAATTTGCACATGAAGACATAACAACACATATAAAAAGTCAAATGTTCCACTGTTTATTCTCCCGTTAAACTGATTAATTAACTCATCCTGCAGAGAAAGATGCCTGACTGAATTCCATCTGAAGTCAATGCGCGTGCTGCTACCGCCGCCTGCTGGACGCAGTGCCCCGGTGCATTGTGGGATTCATCACGTGTCATGTGCCACATGATATCAGGGTGGCGCTTTCTAAACGGATCACAGCAGTAATTTAAGGAGTTCATAAAGGAGGGGGGCACACAAGTGGGAGACCTGAAGAGCCGGTTGGAAGTCTCGTTAAAGAGAGAGAGAGAGGGACGGATCATGTTCGGATCAATGGCGGCACTCTGACACTTCCCCAAAGAGCACACAGAGCAACAAAGACGCAGCTGTAACATCAGGGCGGCCTGCTGGAAGCAGCAGTGTTGTGTTGCACAACCCACACCCGCCAACGCCCCCAACACCCCTGGCCTGTGAATGCGAACATGAGACATTCTAGCTGGTCAATAACAAGAACTCTTAATCACACCAAAATCACCAACGGCGTCCTGCGTTTTTTTCCAGAGGCTTGATTATACTTCGGCGGCGTCATCGATCTCGTGCTCGGCGGAACAAAACTACAACTTGCAGATAATTGCTCGAGGGTACTTTGGGATCAATACCGACGCGTCAGGCCCTATTGGAAAGTGTCTGGCGATTGCTCGCCACATCAATCCGACCACCACAGAGAGCCGTTTGCTACGGCCGCCGCCCTGCCCTGCTCCTCGTTGTGTAGACCAGATACCCCCCCTTCTTCCTCATTGTCCTCTTCGGGCTCCTCAAACTAAACAACAAAAAGAAGGCAACACCCGATCGGTTTGGTGGAACTTTGTGAAACCGCTCTGACGGAGGAGGGCGTCGGCCCCTGTGTGGTTCTCGCGGTTCTCGGGGTCTGTGGATATCCTCTGGGGACCAGCAAAAGCTGCTCGCGCTGGATGCAACGCGGCGGACAGGGCGGCTGCGATGGTAGACGATGGTAAGGGGACGTGAAGGAGGTGGAGATAGCACAGGGAGGGAGGGTGGATGCTTGGTGGGAATCCGTAGCACTGCGTTTTGTTGCTGGTTTCTCTGGTCGCAAAGGTGGGCGAACATCTTCTGGGGGGGTTTTGTCAGCATCTCTTTCACATTTCTGGATATTTCTGATGGTGAAGAGATTTAACATTGTCGTTATTTCTTCCACAAATACTGACAAAGAACATTTGATCCAGAGTTAAAGGTGGGTGTTTGTCTGCTACTTCTATTCTTGAGTAATGTTTGAAAGGGATTTTAGATGGAGAATCATCACGTCAACATTTGAACAATTGAAGGCCTTTTTTTGTGCAATTGGAATATACGTCAATATATTGATATATTTATGTTTATATATCATTACTTTCCTTGTCAGGAGTACTTTGACACGCAATGACAACGTGGAGTTTTTTAATTTTTATCTTATTTAGCTTTTTAAAGCACAAATAAACAGAGGTTGCTGTGTCGTCTGACACAAGACTTTTCAAAATAAAAGCATAAATTATTTAAATTGGTTACCAATAGGAAACTTGATAAAATATCTTCAGAATATAAACTAGTTTAACTCAAACGGACTTTGCTCTGCTTGTGTGGTGAAGTCATTGCTCGGTTCTACTTATTCAAAGAGTTTTCGGCATTTTCGTGTCTTTAACGGCCCCAATGTGTAACAGTCTTAAGTAAAGCTGTTTGAGATAACTCTCACCCCCCCCCCCCTCCCTTTAACATTGGAAGGATTTAAAGAGCACTTTTTACCACGTATATCCATCTTAGATACACCTTTACTTGACCATCAGTGACCTCAGGTGTGGTTCCCTCCCCAGAGTCCTCCTGGAGGCCATGGAGGGCGGCCCGGAGAACATCCCCTTGGGAGTGTGCACCGTCTCCCAGTCCAGGGACCAGCTGACCCCCCCGAGCCGCACAGAGAGCACCGTGTTCAGCCTGTCGCGCAGCGAGTCCGCCTGGACCGCCGAGACCTCCCCCGGCAAGTGCGAGGAGTTCTGGTTCGCCATCCACCTGATGTCCACCGGGGGCAGCTTCCTGGCGTGCGGCGTCATCATCAGCGGCCTGTGGTTCGCGGGCCAGTGCCAGAAGGCGACCAGCATCCTGGGTCCGGTCCTGCTGTCCGTCGGGCTGATGGTGTTGGTGGTGGGCGTGGTCCTGATCCCCATCACCAAGGAGAACCGGAAGCGGACGAGCACGAAGAAGCCCCTCGGCCACTACAGGCCTCCGGCGTTCAACCTGTGACCTCGTTCAGAGCCAGAAACATTGAGAGCGCGCTGGATGCAAATGAACTTTTTTTACCTGTGGAAACTCAGAATGAAAATACTCAAATCCCCCGGGATTGAATTTGTGTGCATGAAACAGTTCCCAACTTGGCGACGTTCTCGCTAAACCCGCCGACCTTTTATTGTCAAATCTAGCGACTTTCTATTGTTTTATTGTTCTTGTTCTAATAACCTCATTATGACGCCGCCACAGCTACAGGTTATTCTTTTGTTTCTTATTCAGATAACACCGCATCATTCGGACAAAAGTCACGCTGGCCCACTGACCAATCACAGCGCATGTTCTGCAACAGTCCATTAAAAGTATGCAACTTATGGCTATGACGCCATTTAACGACTTCTGCCGACTTTTATGACATCCAGCAGGAACTTTCCTGGCTGAGGAGTTGGCGACACCGGCATTAAAAAACATTGTGCATAAATAACCACGGAGCAGGTGAGAGTACGAGGACGAGCTGGATCAAAAAAAGCCAACATGTGCTCATGAATATCCATGAGCGGAAAGTGGACATGGGGGATTTCCTGATACTGTTGGTACAGTGTATTCGGACCCATTAATAATTAAAGATTTATGAGAGTTGATGATTGTCACTTCCCGGTTTAGTGCGTCTTGCGGCGTCCTTATTGTGCCAGCATTCAACCTGGATGTGTGTAAAGGAGAAACCTTTAAACCGAAGGCGTATTTCTTATGGTAGGCATATGAAGGTTTACTACCTCGTCACACCCAGAATCCATCACGAGCATGAAATATCCATTGCTTAAGATTAAGTCTTTGGATGAGAGACTCAGCAGTTTGTATTTAAAACAACTTCAATCAATACGTAATGTGATAATGTGACTAATTGTAACTCAAATTTAAATAAGCTTCATTGGCAGCGACAGTTGAAGTGACAGAAGAAACATTATTGCTAAATAACAAAATGTTGCGTTATTACGTTTTAGAAGAAAATGACAGAGTTTCAGTTTCTTTCAGGTGTTTCCGCATCAGTGAAGAAGCGCACCGACAGAAACAGAGGGTTACTTATGAGCAGCAGACCACACCCGAAGGAAGCTGGCCGGTCACCGCGGTGGAGCCTTTACGGACACTACCGCGGTTTGGTGGTGAAGCAAGCGCACAAAACAAGAAACAGCGCTTCTTTTAAAGGGCCTCGTCGTATGCAAAGAAAACCACAATGCCGCTATTATACGCGGCCCTTCAACAATAAGAACGGGCTTTATTATTCTGCACACATGAAGAATAAACTGAAGATTCGCAGAATAAGGCTGAGTCATGATACGTTCGCGCACATCGGCGCCAATTTGAATGTCAAATCGCATATTTAAAGTCCCGCGGGTTCTTTTTGCATTGATGGCAAACCCGACGGCGTTTAGAGTTCTTACACAATAAGGAAAGGAACACACACCTGGCCCACTATTAGCACTTTGTTGGCACTTACAGTGTAGTTTGTCTTTCTCTAGTTCTTGTGGTTCGGGTCTGTTCCCTCTGAGCTGAAGCCACTTTGTACACGAGCCTCAGCTAAATGTGAGCAAATGTAAATGTGTGTGTGTGTGTGTTTATGTATATGTGTGTGTGTGTGTGTGTGTGTGTGTGTGTAGGAGGAGGAGACACCTTGTTTATTCAGGGAGGGGCGTGTGTGTGTTTCTACAGGTGTGTGTGTGTCCGCAGGTGTAGAGGAGCGGTCGGCTCGCCATCCTCCCGTTACACCGCCCGATGCGCCGGTGATGTCCGCGCCATGCTCCCGGTAACGCGCTTCGGGGGATGCCTGCCCGCGCTCCTCGCCGCCGCCCTGTTCGACGTCCTCGGCGTCGTTCTGCTCTTCGTCGGCGTCTTCGGGGACCTGCGCCTCGGCGGCCGCTTCTACGGCGACTTCTTGATCTACACCGGCTCCGTGGTGCTCTTCGGCAGCCTGGGCTTGTGGATCATGTGGTACGTGGGCAACGTCCGGGTCTCGGAGGAGGAGGAGGGCGGCGGCGGCGGCGGCTGGATGAGGAAGAGGAGCGACGGCGTCGTGCGCCTGGCGAGGAAGCTCACGGAGCGGCTGAGCCAGAAGCTCTCCGCGGAGGCGCGCCTCAAGTACGCGCACAACGACGAGGAGGCGCAGGGCGGCCAGGTGGGCTCACCTGCGCGCAAGGCCAGCCGGGTGACGTGGGGCAGATCCACGGTGTACCACAACGAGGGCTACGAGGACTCCCCGGGCCCCCCCTCTGTGGAGTGGGGAGAGTCAGAGGACAAGCCGGAGGTGTGATGGACGGGTAGCTTCATGTTAGTGTGACAGCTTTGACTATAGTATATATACATCCATTAAGACCTAATATATATATATATATATATATAATGGCTTAATGGATGTTCATTGGCTGGGTTTTAAGAAATATAATAGGCCACAGCCCTCTCAATATTTATGTCCTAAAAAGTTTTCATTTTAAGTTCATAGTTTCCTGGACCGGTTCTGCTGATAAAGAAAAAATGTGTTTAGATGGTTCACCGGTTCTGCTGATAAAGAAAAAATGTGTTTAGATGGTTCACCGGTTCACCGGTTGTAGTCCGTGGAGATTACTCCACCCGAACATGCACACAATACAATAGGGTCCACTCATTTACTCGTGAATATTTATGTTTATAATCAACTATATATATTCAAGTCTTTCCCAGAAACTTTGTGGCCCTTCTTTTTCTCATTTTACTTACTACTTTACTTTAGTTTTTTGTTAATTTTATTTCCAAACATTGAGGTCCAAATTAAATTTCAAAGCTCTCTTTACACTGCAAAGCTGATTGTCAACTATAGACGTAAATACACGATGTATGGCTGATGGCGTCGGACTCAATGAGGTGCTACAAGCACTGTTCACTACTAGCACTATTAGCTACTAGCACTGTTAGCTACTATCACTGTTAGATACTAGCACTGTTAGCTACTAGCACTGTTTGCTACTAGCACTGTTAGATACTAGCACTGTTAGCTACTAGCACTGTTTGCTACTAGCACTGTTAGATACTAGCACTGTTAGCTACTAGTACTGTTTGCTACTAGCACTGTTAGCTACAACCACTGTTAGCTACTAGCACTATTAGCTACTAGCACTGTTAGCTACTAGCACTGTTATCTGCTAGCACTATTAGCTACAAGCATTATTAGCTACTAGCACTGTTCGCTGCTAGTGATGTTAGCTTCTTGCAATAGAGGTAAACCTCTCTGTAGGCTAACCTGGCCTTCTGTTGGATTACAGTTCCCTATTAGTTTTATTGCTAAACGTATATTGAATCAACACAATCATTGACATTGTGTTGACATTGAGTGTCCTCAGAAAGCCGGTGGTGTCCATTCAACAAGGGGAAATTATTATTTTTAAATCGTCCTCCCAATATGTAGAGACACAGCTTTGGCTTCTATTTATTTCCACAAATGCTCAGCCGATCCCGTTTGACATCTTATATCCAAACCGAGTGACGACAGGTCATGTTTGCCTTCCAGTGGCCGTGAGACACTGGTCCGACTGGTTTGCCTCTTTGCTTTTGTTGTCGGCTAAACAAGCCTGAAAATCCTCGGCGGGGGATTGTGTGAGACTCGGTACTGCGTGCCGTGTATCCACTGCCATGCGTGCACTGTTTGTTTACCTATTTGGTTTAGAGGAGAAAGATACACAAATAGGATTCTAAATAATGTTGCACCTTATGCAAATGTCCCGGTGCTGCCAGGGCTTGTTTACACAGCGTGGACATGACTGACAGCCTCAAACACATGACAACGTTACAGTAAATAAAAGGACAGGAAGACGGGGGGAGACAAACAGAGGCAGCTCGACTGGTCAAACACGCCGCTGTGAGAGAAGTTTCCATTATGTGTGTTTCCTCTTTATGACACTTCACATTACGTGTCGAAATTATGGAGAACCGTGGAAAGTCAAATATTTAAGCGCACGGCTTGAATGCAGTGAAGCCGCCCTGCAGAGCTGCTCCCTAGTTAAATATAAAAGGGATGGGGGGGGGGGGGGGGGCATCTTACCAATGGCAATGACGTGTCTGTCACATTACAATGATGTGAAAAGAAAAGAACAGGTCGGCTCTGTCGAGGAATGTGGACGAACCGACCCGGTGTGGTCGCATACCGGGAGTCCGTTGCTGTTTAAAAGACATTCGTGGCGTGCTGAGAGGGAGCGAGCAGCACAACAGGAGAGCACTTCTCCAGAGAGGCTCGCCGAGACAACGTCCACCTCGCGCGCCGTCTCTGACCCAGTGACCATGGGGCAGGGGAAGTACCCCATCTTCTTCCTCACGCTGGCCGTGGTCTTGGACGTGGCCGGCCTCATCCTCTTCTTCGTAGGGATCTTCGCTCCCCTGAGTTTCTGGGACTTCTTCGTGCTGTCCGGACCTTTGCTGATCTTCCTCAGCCTGGTCTTTTGGATATTCTGGTACATGGGGAACCTCACCGTGACCGAGGAGGAGCTCAACCTCACCAAGTCGGACATCCTCTGAACCTGCGGCAGGAAGGCGACGAGGAGGAGCAGAAGCTCCCTGAAGGAATCATAAGGTTTCGCCTCAGCGAAGGACGTCTGGTGAATCCCAGAAAATCAGACAACAACAACAACAACCTGTATTCACGACCTTTGACCCAAGATTGAAGGCAACAAGTCATGTTTAAATTGGGACAGCAGGAATTCCTGCACTTTATCGGAGTGACAATTCTATTTCTCAGCACTTTCATTGGGAGGAAGCTTCTTTTTTCTTTTTAAAGTGCATCATCATGACACTGTATGCCTTATTTATGCCGTTGTTGCCACACAATGTACATGTTAGTCTATGATGTATGTGTATATATACATGTATATATATATTATGTTTGCATTCTATCTTTTGAGATAAAAATGCTTTAAAATGAGGTGTTGCTGTCTCCTTTGTGATGCTCTTCCTGGATGAAAACCGGTCAAACCAGCACAGTGAGATATTTCCGTACAGATCCACCCAGCGTTGAGTTGAACAGGAAGAAGAAACACCTGTGACACACCTGCAGAGTCCACTCAGGTGTTCAGAGAGAGACGGGGAAACCTGCTCCTCCCTCACAAGGCACCAGAGCTCCAGCCGGCAGGAAGGGAAAGAAACGCAGTGCGATCTTCATTGTGCTCCCAGCGAGGAGGGTGAAAGCGATACTGCTCGTCCACGCCCCGGCTCCTCCGGGCCTTCATCAGCACTCAGGGCGCCATTAGCTCCCTCAGACATGGAGGGTTATTAATGTGTCCGTTTGGATCCTGCCCCTGAGAGAGGAAATGGAGGAGCGGCGTAATGGGTCTCTCGCTCTCTCTCTCTCTCTCTCTCTCTCACAGTGCAAAGAGACAGAAACCCTGCTGCCCCCCCCAGGACACCGCCCTCTCTGGTGCGCTCAAATCCCCTAAGTTGTCCTGATGGTTATGTCATTACAATCTGAATCACAGCTGGACTCGTCAAATGCATAACGGCTTATATCCCGAGAGGGACGCGGATTCCAAGAGGGTCTACTTTGACAACTTGAGCCTCAGCTACACATTATATTAATAATAATAACAATTAATATAATGTAACATTTAAAAAATGACTAATAAATGAATTCTAACGATCATACAAATAATTAACCAAAATCATAGCAATGTACCTTTTAATTGTAGTCCACTTTGGTTACACAGAACAATAAATATAATATGAAATTGGTCAAAATAAATCATATATGCATAACAAGAGTAATAATGAAAATAGTGAACTGGAAAGAAGGTCACTTAAAAAACTCTTGCTTGAAACAAGAAAAAAAAAACTCAAAGGTGCTTGGGAAACGTTTTGGGATAAAATAAAATAAAAACATTTAGGCCTTTCAAGATAAAAACAGAGAACTTGTTTGTGAAAGTAATTTTATAAACTTAATTGTTTTTTGCAGATGTACTAATACGCTTTATTGTTCACAAATGTGGGAATTAGTATTTGGCTTCAGAGACTGGTTCAAACACATAGAAATACAATAGAAAATAAAGGACAGTAAATGCTGTTATGAGGCGGCACGGTGGCGTGGGTTCTCTCCGGGTTCTCCGGCTTCCTCCCACAGTCCAAAGACATGCTCTGGGGATCAGGTTAATTGGGGACTTTAAATTGCCCGTAGATGTGTGAATGGTTGTGTGTCTCTGTGTAGCCCTGCGATTGGCTGACGACCAATCCAGGATGTACCCTGTCTATCGCCCGAAGTTGGCGCTAGTGTGCAGGATAAGCGGTTTGACGATGGATGGATGGAAATGCTGTTATGGCATTATGTATGAAAGACCTTTTATAAGTCTAGTTTCTAAACAGAATTTAGAAACAGCTGTTTTACATCCATATTGTGGTTTTTCCAAATACTTTCCCCATGAACTTTGTAAACTTTGAAATACTACAAGAACACAGTTATTTAATATATAAATAGAAGAACACACTCACAAATACTTGTTAAAATACCCAAAGAAACATGGATAGTCCATATTGTTAAGAACGGTCTCTGCTGTTTATCTGAGAAATTCCTCATTTGTGATAATTTAAAGTTGGCTCAATTATATAATTCCCATATGAAATATTATACAAGGTTTGAACTACCATCAAATCAATGACTTACAGCAATCAATTAGATGTGGTTGGGCTCTCAAGATAGAAATGGGTCCCAGCAGGCAGCTCCTGTTGAAACAAGATAGGAGATAAGATCATTAATAATAATTATATTATTAGGCAGCAAAGCAACAACAAGCGGCCTCGGTAAGAAAAAAGTGAGACTGGTAATGGATTAAGTAAAAAGGAAAACAGAATATCAGTAAAAGACATTTTCTTACATTAAGTGACGCTGTTGTTAATAATAAGATGAATGCTGTTGGACTTACGATGATCACATTGTGTTTATTATTCTGCTGTGCTGCTGGACTAGACTTCCCCCCTCGAGTCAGCTGGTGACCGTGACGTCAGCTCTTGAGCCGCGTGATGGTGCGTGTCTCCCTCCAGTGGTTCGCAGAGTGAACAAATAATAAAGTAACGTTCAGCTTTGTTCTATAGATGAACATCGCTCGCTTCGATCTTGTCGCTGACAAAAGAAAATGTGTTAAAGTATTATGTTAAACTACCAACTAAAGAATAACAACCTAATGTTTCAATTAAATTGAACTTAAGTTGTTTTTTACACGATTCACATAAAAATGAATGAATGAAGGTGAACTAAATATTTTGGCTTTTAACTAACCAAATACAATTTTGTATAGCATTTTTGTACTAATTACTACTAAAGATGACTTTTTAATTGTTTTACGGTGCTTGAATTAAATTGGCAATACAACCAAGTCTGTTTCAGTCAGTGAGACTCCTTTTCTGGTCGATTCAGAAAGAAGAAAAAATTGTTCATCAGAACTTCTGAGAGCCAAAGGTGACGTCATCAGATATCAAGGCGCAAAAGTCCTAAAATATTTTTTAAATCAAGCCATTGATTTAAACTGAAAATATATCTAATTTCTTTAAATATTTTGTCATGATAAATTGGATAAATTAATTAACTACAGGGTTAACCACTAATTAACTACATTAATTGTAGTTGTTTATTATATAACATCGGAGGAGAACTATTGCTATGATGTAAGTGATAAATAAGATGTGTAACAGTGCAGGAGGTCAAGGACACCAAGAGCCCCCTTTTTTTTTTAAAGACATATAGTTGTCGTTGTTTTTTTTAATGATTGACTTGTGCCATACATCTGGCTCCCATGATGATGTTTCTACGTTGGCCCTGTTTTTGTCCCGTGTTTTACCTCCATGCTGCATTCGATGTAAAATATCTGTCTACGCCCGATCATGACTTCACACCTGTCGGAGGTGTGATCCTCTAATGGGAGGCCATCGGCTAGTTCACACACCGCCCCACAGGCAGCGATACCTCCTCCCCCCGCGCCCCCCTCTCCCCCCGCGCACACTCTTCACTGTTTACAAACAAGCGGTCCACAGATGGCAGGGTCACTCACCCGGGTGATAACAAGGTCTGCACACGTGACACGCACGGCATTACAGACCTGCAGCCCCACGAGCGAAATGTGAACCAAGTTGGTCTGTTATGATAAAATGCATATAAATAAATGTGTATTGATGTGTTTACACTCATTGCAGAATGCAACAATGATCCTTTAAAAGGTAGCTAGCCTCATCATTACACAGTGACAAGATGCTGCAAAGGGGGCAGCGTGCGAAACCAGGCATGGATTACGTAGTGGAGCAGGAGGACCCATCATGCACTGTGGCTTTTCCGCCGATTCGACGTGGAGAGACTGAAAAAAAGGGGCGAACAAAACCTGCAGAAATATTCTCACACATGCTTCGAAGGCACAAACAGTTTGTGATATCGACGCGTCGTCATAGATTATCGATACCGTGTCGCTGTGGTGGTTATTGTGACTGATTGCACGTGTAAACCGGCTGATCCACTCCTTTCCTGTGTGTAAAAAAAAAAAAAAAAAAATACACTCCGCTTCTTACCTCCCGAGCATATGCGCGTATTACTGCGCGCCAACCGACCCTGAAGCCGTCCTCGGATTAGTTCTCGCAGGCGATTGGCCGCGGGCGCCGAGCCGCATCGGCTTCCTGGATTCCCATTGGCGGAGCGCGCCGTCAGTCAGCGCGTATCCGCCCCTCGCCGTGTCTGGTTGGATCGCTCCGCCACCCTTTCTCTCGGCGGTGGGTCGGAGCCGCTGTCCCTCGGCCTCGCATGTTCCCCTCTAAATTCCTGTTTTCAATTCGATGTCCCTCTTTGTAGATTTTGATTAATTTCTCACGCCGCTGGCCACAGCCGGGCGTCCACACGCACACACCGGTGTTTTGTTTGTCCCAAAAAATTGCTATTTCGCGTTTCGAGACCTCACCCCCCCCCCCGACACACACACACACACACAGACAGACACACACACACACCTTCCACCACCCTCCAGAACATGGCCGTGGTGAGCGGATCGTCTGGGCCGGTCGCCCGGCTCGAGGGCCGCGAGTTCGAGTACATGATGAAGAAGCGCTCGGTGACCATCGGCCGGAACTCGTCCCAGGGCTCCGTGGACGTCAGCATGGGCCACTCCAGCTTCATCTCCCGGCGGCACCTGGAGATATTCACCGCCAGCGACGACGGCATCGGCAGCGGGGATTTCTACCTGAGGTGCCTCGGTAAAAACGGGGTGTTCGTGGACGGGGTGTTCCTCAGGCGGGGCGCCCCTCCTCTGCAGCTACCACGGATGTAAGTATGCCCCCCCACCACCCCACCCCACTCATTTTCTAGGTGAACATGTGGATGCTAGCACCAGTGTAGCCAAGCAAGCTAACGTACACAGTCAACAACATCGGGCTGATACTGCCTAGCATTCTCGAGAGGACCACGTGTTTTAGCACGTTAGCAAGAACGCCGCGTCCTGTCCCCTCAACCTTCTTCTTTGTTGACATTTTTGTTAGCGACCGTGTGAACTAGCTGCCCGCGAGCGCTCCACATCCCCCCCCCATGGTTATTTGGCGTTAGTCGCGTTCCACAAAGTCTGTGTTGGAGCTAACAGGTTAGCTAAGGACACGGAGCTAGCTGGTAGCTCACGTAGACGCTGTTGTTGATTTTTGACTGGTGGAACTCTCCCCCCACCCCCCGTTCTCCGTGTCACGTGGATACTCTTTAAGTTCACAACAACGCGCACCTCGTGAGACTGTAAACATTCCTGCTTGTCCTCATGCAAACGCGTTAGCTAGCGGTTAGCCGCTGCCGAGCTGGTGAATGGAGGCTCTTCTCGGGACCCTAAACGTAAACAAACCGGCCCGTCCCCGCCCTGCCGACTCCCAGCGGCGGGGCCGGCTGCACCGTCAGCCTCCTCCCGAGGAGCCGAAGTCATGCTCGCATGTGTATTTCTCCACCCGCCGGCTAGCATTGACCACTGAGAGAGGAATGGATACTGAAACTTAATTTAAAAGTGAAATCCTACGTTTTGGACATTGAGATCGGCATGTCGCTTACAAGCCTGTTTCTATGTCGTGGAGTTGTTGTGACAAGATCTGCATGATCAAACATGTATTACCCAGATTAATCTATAGTCCCGGTGTGTACTTAAGTAATGGGTTATAGAACTTGCACGAAGAAGTTCTCCAATGGGAATATTTGTTGTCTTTATATGGCTTCATTATATCATTCATGAATTACTGTGCTGATTGGCAGGAAGCTCAACATGTTTAAAAACAAAAACTCTTTTGTGTGTTTTCTTCAATTGGTTGTACAAAACAAGCAAATGTCTCTTAAACATTTAACCATTTTACCGACGACGTAAACAATTATAAAGCCTGACTGATGAATCAACTTTTTGAAAGTGTGACAAAGTCCACTAAAGAACGCCGTGCATGAATTATGGTTGTCCATATGGATGGAGCTGAGCTTTGCCAAAAAAGGTGTCTGCAGTTAATCCACTAAAGAGACGTGGATGAACCTGCCAGCAGTGACTTCCCCCTCGGCTATTGTGCAATCTCTCAATCTGCAACCACTTGGTTGAAAATAGCTTTGTTTTTTTGACTAAGTGCGATTTTTGGGCCGCTAACTTTGCCTTCTGCAGAAGAACACGTCCTCCGATTGAACGCGTTACTCAGATTTATCTACATCGTACGCCACCGGCGGCGATCGAGGTCGGGGGCGGCCGAGGTTCCTCCATCACAGAGCTTTTATTCGGTCTTTGCGACGAGTGCGACTGGACGCGTTAATCCTGGAGGCCACTCGTGGACGACCATGTCGCCCGCAGACGGGTCTGTTGAATTCCCGGGATTCCTCTGTGGTGACGTAAACGCACCCAACAGGGAGGATCGGCCTTCACTCCCCCTCTCCTCCCGCACCACCCACATTCCCTCCCATTCGGTGCTCTTCCGGTCTCGCTGTCTTCTTTTGTTTACATTCTTCTGCTTTTTTTGGGGGGCGTTGGGGTGAAAACCCAGTTTTTTCTTCTTCTTCTTCTTTGGTTGAAGGAGCTTTGTTTGTTGCCGGCTTAGCCGCATAGCAACTGTGCGTTTGTGTTTTGGGCGTTCGGGCCTCATTGTTCACACGGAGAGAAAATGGGGTCAATAAAGAGGCTTCAGTGAATGCGAGCTTTGAGGTGGATACTCAACGACACGGACACGGCCCCCCACACCACGGGGCCGCGGATAATTAAAAATGCCCCATTATCAATTTAAAGGGATGCGTTTAGAGATGTTTCGCTGAATGAAACTCGCTGGACTTCATGTGCTGTTTAAATATCTGGACAACAACTAGATCGACAGAACTTTTTAAAACAATACTCTTCCTCTTGATTGAACTAAACTGTTCAATCCAGTTATTTCGATTTACAAAAACGTAAAACGTAGTTTGTTCCAAGCTTCTCCAATGTGTTTTTTTAATTATCATTTAGTCTTCTGTCCACAGCAGAAAGTATGTTTTGTGAAAGGACAAAGATGAAGGAATATGACTTGATGCCGTGGTTTCACTTTCTCTTCCTGATGCGTTTTGATTGTTCCTGAGACGATGAGCCGCGTCCCGCGCGATGTGTTTATCTGATTGTGTGATGGGAATAGAGATGCGTTGAGTTATTAATAACCTTGTAAAGGAAGCTTCAGACTAAATCGGTTCCGCCCTAGTTATGTTTGTGAATCATTTCCAATGTGATTTTAAAGATCAGATGATGTTTAACGGCACCCAGTGATGCAATAAATACGATGTTTATAAATACTTGTTCATATATATTTATTCATATAACTCGGCGTATGCTGCTCGCGAAAAAACGTCAACATTTCAAATGCCGCCGGTCGCCACGGCGAGCCGAGAGCCAATCAACACAATTTGGTGGTCTTTTATTACTTACTGGTATTTTTAGCCGTCGGGCCGTTAGATGTTGAGTTATTTTTAAGGTTCCGTCTGTAACTCTGTCACATCCACAGTGAAGTCCTGAGAGGGAACATGCACAATGCAAAGTGGCTTCAGTCTAATTTGTGATGTACGGGTATATGTTCGTGTAGCCTTCCACACGGGTCTGTTTTTAACGAGCACAACAATATTTGGATTGCAAGGATTCCTCCCTACGACGCGCTCCGTTGCTGTTGGCAGCGTCCTCGCATTCCTGAGTCCATTCTGTTTGTTTCCTTTCTCCTTCGTGAATACTGGAGAAGCATCGATAGAAACAGCTGTCATTTAATGTTTTTTTTTTTTTTTACAAATAATAACACAATCTAGCGTGAAGCTTTGTGATAAGTTGAATGGGTTTGATGTATTGTGGCCGTAGACTGTAAAACGCGGGCAGAATCATTGTGACCTCACCCGCTGGTCTGTGACTGACTTTTTAAACTAGTTCGATTCCATATTTGATTTATCTGTTTGACTCTAAATGGACCATAATTCACTAAGTGACCATCATGTTGTGTTGAAGAAGACTTGAAACTAGAGACTGAGACCATGAACTCATGTTTACAATGTTTACTGAGGGAATAAATCCAGAGAGAAGTAGTCATTTCCTCATAGACGTCTATGGGAGCAGAGGAGTCGCCCCCTGCTGGTCACTACAGAGAAGTAGAGTCATTTCCTCATAGACGTCTATGGGAGCAGAGGAGTCGCCCCCTGCTGGTCACTACAGAGAAGTAGAGTCGTTTCCTCATAGACGTCTATGGGAGCAGAGGAGTCGCCCCCTGCTGGTCACTACAGAGAAGTAGAGTCATTTCCTCATAGACGTCTATGGGAGCAGAGGAGTCGCCCCCTGCTGGTCACTACAGAGAAGTAGAGTCATTTCCTCATAGACGTCTATGGGAGCAGAGGAGTCGCCCCCTGCTGGTCACTACAGAGAAGTAGAGTCATTTCCTCATAGACGTCTATGGGAGCAGAGGAGTCGCCCCCTGCTGGTCAGTGCACAGAATGCAGCAGGTTGAACTCAGGATGAGCCGATACATCCAATGTACTTGATGGCTTGACAAACAAGAGCACCACTTCTGACAAAAAGATAATAAAGTACTAATCGACTAAAGGAACCTTGGACTGACTAAGAGGCAACACGACATGAAAGAGCTGCAAGTAATGAATATTAACCAGGTGACACTTGATAAATTTAAATAACGGACAATTTTCTGCACCGATAACTCATAAACTTCCCTTTGACAACAAATAATCACCAAAGAAACGTGCACTTTTCCATGGAATGAATGTTTTTCTGATCGTTGACATTCTGCTCGTCCTATATTTTTACCCAATCCGCCTCATTCCGGCCCGTAGAGGAGGAGCGCTGTGTGGACAGGAAGCCCCGTCAAGCCGACGCTTTCACAATGCACATTAAATTAACTCGCCTGTCTCTCTGCTAATTAAAGTCAGCCAGAGTTCCACCGCGGGGCAGGTTGATGTGGCGTTTATTAAGCGCCTGCTGATTTGATTTTTTTTATCAACCCTTTAACCCTCAACTTTATTTAATCAAATCTACACCTTTTATACCGTCAGACTTTAATCTTTTCAGCGGTCCGAAAAAACTTAAATTCTGCAATCGTCAGCGCTATGTAGCCTCGACCGAGTCGTCTGGGACCAACAGTTTGAACTTTGAACTGTTGGCTGCTGAGCAGGAAGGACGGGTCGTAACAATGCACTTCAATGATTTAGGTTTAAAAATATATTTATATATATTTACAGGCTTTACAGGCAGACTGTTACTCGCCTCCGGTCAGGTTCTGTTTCCATGGAGACGCAGGACCACCAGGAACTGCTGCGGTGTGCTAACGTGCGTTTCCTGTCGCAGGTGCACGTTCAGGTTCCCCAGCACCAACATCAAGATCACCTTCACCGCCCTCTCCAGCGGGAAGAAGGTGAAGCGCGAGGCGCCGGAGTCCCCAGTGAAACCAGTGCAGCCGCAGATCTCCCCGCTGACCATCAACATCCCCGACAACATCGCCCACCTCATGAGCCCGCTGCCCTCGCCCACCGGCACCATCAGGTACCGCCTGCGATGAGGTTTATCGGGGTTTTCAAAGTTAGGATCTAATGTCATCGCGCCGCTAGCTGGTGAACAATTAGTCCAGACAAAGTTTAATAGGCTCGATTTTAAGAACATAAAACCCATCGATCTGTATTTCTTTACCAACGCGACTTGTTGGGCTGTATGTGGGCTGAACTGCCTCGGGGGGCGGAGCCTCCCGCGGCGCCCCTCGCTGACCTTAAGCCGGCGGTCGAACTGGACGTGATCAGCTTAGGCTTAGTTCAGAGGCGCCTCCGTCTCTTGGAATCCTCTCAACCCCCCCCTGATGTCCAGCCAGATGGTTTCTTCTGCCACGCCTACGTCTCATGGAGATCCTCTGTGGGTTCTGATTCTGATGTTTCCCCCCGCAGTGCCGCTAACTCGTGCCCCTCCAGCCCGCGGGGGGGCGGCTCCTCGGGCTACCGGATGGGCGGACGCATTGTCAGCTCCGCGGAGCTGCAGCTCATGAACGACAACTCGCAGCCCGAGAACGACAAAGACGCCTCCGGGGGGGACAGTCCCAAGGTGGGGGGGAATGTTTTTGAACTGGGTCGTAATCTGAGCAGTAACGTACATGACAGAGAGTAACACCCCCCCCTCTGCTCTGCAGGACGACTCCAAGCCTCCGTACTCCTATGCACAGCTGATCGTCCAGGCCATTACGCTGGCTCAGGACAAGCAGCTCTCACTGAATGAAATCTACAATCACATCACAAAGAACTACCCGTACTACAGGACGGCAGACAAGGGCTGGCAGGCGAGTCCGGATTCACCAAGTGTTGGAAAAGTTATATGTTAATGTGGTTTATTTAAGATACGTTTGAAATAATTCATATGGTTTTAAAGAGAGATGTTAAAAATACGAGCAGGACGTTCTCATACTCGCAGCGCAAATAGTTACCACGTGGTTGTGTGAGTTCAGCGGCCGTAAAGGCGGCAGCTCAGGAATCATCATCTGTGCCGAGAAGTGTAGATTTAACCGCAGGTTGGCTACATGTTCAGGCATCGGTATTGTTTTAGAACTCGTATCAGGAAAAACCCCAACGATACTCCATCGAATCCATAGTGGATGATTGGAAACATAAAAAAACGACTTTCTTGGGGCCTGATTGAATGTAGAGGAAACACTGTGTGTCTTAGAATCCTCATTGTTAGTTTAAATACTACATTTGCTCACCTTTTCATGTATACAGAGATTTCACAACATTTTTGGTCATGGAAATCCATCGGTCCAGATGTGTATGAACCCTGCACGATCCGGTTGTTTCCATGGAGGAGCTGGACTTTTATGTTGTAGAGGAAAGCGCTGTAACGTGGCGGCCGCTCGTCTCTCCTCCGTCTCTGCAGAACTCGATCCGTCACAACCTGTCGCTGAACCGCTACTTCATCAAGGTGGCGCGGTCGCAGGAGGAGCCGGGAAAGGGCTCCTTCTGGAGGATAGACCCGTCCTCGGAGGGCAAGCTCATCGAGCAGGCCTTCAGGAAACGAAGGCCGCGGGGCGTCCCGTGCTTCAGGACCCCCCACGGGCCCCTCTCCTCCAGGTCTGCCCCCCCCCCGGCATCACACACTCTCTTGCTTTGATTCACACGCGTTACCACAGCCTTTGAGGAGCGTCGTATATAGAACAATATTACAGTTTGGGTTCAAACACACCTGCATTGACTTATTGTTGATGCAGTTAGTCATTTAAAAATGTAAAAACGGATCATTTATTTTGTTTGGTATGAATAAGACCAAACTGCACGTTCTTTATGATCAATGCTTTTTATTTAGTTTTATTGTCTATGGGGGGAAAACAAAATATATTCAAGCAAACACGAGTGAGTTTAACCCCAAACACACTTTAAAACACACTTTTTTTTATTGTACGACACGTTTCACAACTCATCCTGAAACTGAACAATAATCTTATTGGAAACACACTGCAGCTGAAGAGTTAACCCGTCCCCCTCCCTCCCCCCCCAGGAGCGCCCCGGTCTCCCCCAATCACTCCGGGGTTCTCTCCGCTCACTCCAGCGGCGTCCAGACCCCCGACAGCCTATCGCGGGAGGGCTCCCCGGTCCCCCTGGAGATGGAGACCTCCTCGGCTCCGGCCCCCGCCAACGCGGTGGTCCAGCCCAAACTGGCCGTCATCCAGGAAGCACGCTTTGCACAAAACACATCAGGTAGGTGACGGCCCGGTGATAAAAAGCCAAGAATGCTGGGTAAGATTCCTAATATCGACGTGCATATAAACCGTCCCGGTGGGCCCCTGATTGCCCCCCTCTCCCCCCAGGGTCGCCTGTCAACAACCAGCCGGTACTCATAGCAGTCCAGCGTCAGTTACCTCAAACCATTAAGCCAGTGACCTACACCATGGCCTCCCCAGTGAGCACCAGCACCTCCCAGCCGGCCATCCAGACGGTCCACGTCCTGCAGCAGATCCCCGCCGCCGTCATCGCCCAGCCGGCCGCCATCATCAAGGGCGTGCCGCAGGAGAACGGGGAGCACACGGGGCTCAAAGGTGAGGCATGCTGGGAAACGTTGTTCTTCAGTATTATGAGTTGGCGTCAAATGTTTTGGAACAGGAACAAACATTTTCCTGTCCAGCAGAATGTATTTTTATTATGTGATTCTCACTTCTACATTTATTATGTATACATCACAGAGTATATATTTAGTAAACGTAAATACTAACCCTCTCTGTCCCAGTCAAAGTGGAGGCGGTCCCCAGCATCGCCTCCATAGGCGGATCCAGTCGCATCATCCAGACCTCCCAGCCCGGCGGCCCCCTGCAGACCGTCACCATCGTGCAGCAGCACCCCCCCATCGGCCAGCACCAGCTGCCCATCAAGGCCATCACGCAGAACGGCACCCACAGCATCACCACTGCCATCCACGGACCCGCCAGCTCAGGTAACGTGGGCGGCGTGCTTCAGGAGAGTTGCATCGTGCTGCGTTCAGGCGCTGCTCGGTGAAGACGAAAGAAGACAAACATCCGTATCTGCCAATATGGATCATCGGTGAAATCTGAAATCCATAAACGTAAACCAGATGCTCTGATGTGTGACTCCGCCTCTTAGTTTTAGATTGATTGGCGAATGTTTCCAGATGTTTACTCACCCAGAGGTTCATTCTTTACCACCTGCTCGCACTTCCTGTTGTGTTCGTGTTGTAACCTGTCTCCTTGTCTCTCTACCCCCTGCTGTTCCAGCTGTGGCGAGCCCCCTCCACCTGCTGGCGGCGCACGCCTCTGCCTCCGCCTCCCTCCCCACCAAGCGACAGAACGGGGAGCAGCCGGCCGCCGGGCCGCCCGACGCCAAGCGGGCGAAGTCGGAGGACGAGGCGGCGGCCCGAGGGGCCGTCAGCGCGGCGGACTCGAGCTCTCCGGCAGCCAACGAGCCGGGTCTCAACTAGCCTGTACCGCTAACACCGCCCCCCCCTTTCTCCACCCACCACCATCACCTCCTCTCTCTCTCTCTTTCTCTCTCGTCCCCGTCGTTCCGTTTCTTCCTCCACCGACTCCCGAGGTGCCAAACGGAGAAGATTCTCCTCCAGAGCATCACAATAAAATGAATAAAATAATAACAGCCGCCCGCTTTTTAAAGACTGGAGTGTGGGTCGAGAACAAAATAAAGAAATGGGACGACGATGAACCCCAACCCCCCCCACTTTGTGGGCCACTGGAACAGGAGGGACCACAACCACAGGAAGCCTTAACGACGACTAACCCTTAAGAGCTGACCTTTGACCTCGGGGGGTGCAGCGGGGAGAGGGGCCCCCGACTCCAGCTCGGGCTGGACGCCACCTTTTCTGTCGCATTTACCTCGGGCAGGAGATTCCAGCAGCAGCACCCCCCCCCCCCCTCCCCCCTCCAAACAAACAATATCCAGAAGAAGAAGAAGAAGCCGCTCACTGAGGAGGGGATCGAACTCTGAGCCGATATTCCTGAGACTCCGGCAGCTAGCCTCCCCCAGTACTGACCCCCCCGTATCGCAGCTGTACGTAGACATGCAGTATTTTGATGTTCGGACGTGGAGCATAGGATCCTTTTTGTTCACGTGTCTTTTCACTTATCTAGATAAAGTAATAATTTAATTCAAAGGAAGCGCGCGAAAGTAATGAGGTCGGTGACATTTCGGTAACTAAGTTAGAGAAATCTCACTTTTTTTTTTTTTTTTAAATGTGGACCTTTTTTTATGTTTGGTAAAACAGTGATAGTTCTTGTAATGTTTGTTTGTTTGCCCCCCCCCCCCCCCCCCCCCCACACACACCACCAACACCTTTGCTTGATTATTTTACTTTTCTCCGGCGACCTGGCGAGTCTGTCTTCTGATTGTACACGTTCCAAACAATAGTAAAGCAAAAATAATTGATGTTTGTTCTGCTTCAGTGGAGAAATGCTTTTTTTTTTTAAATAAATTAATTTAAAGCCCCATTTTTTCTGTATCTTTTGACGGTTTCTAATGATGGCGGTAGTTCCTCTCCTCACCACAAGGGGGCAGTATAGGAAGGTTCTTCAGGACTGTTACATGGTTAAAAATACGAAACACACAGCAGAAAAACTGAGAGACGTCTTTGTCCTAATAACACACAAACAGTCAGCTGCACAAGAACAGACAACTTTAATATGAATAGTTTCACGTGACGGAAGGAAACGAGGAGTGAAAAAGCAAAACGCACAGGAAGAAAAAGGTCTTATTGTTGACCTCAAGTTCTAAAACCCACATGTAGGTCAAGAAAAGCTCAAATGATTAAAATCAGGTTTGGAAAGAGGATACTGGAGGACTCGAGCGTTTAACCTTCAGGGACATTTTGCCTTTAAAATGTTTGAATATCTGAAGTTGTGTTCATGCATATTATATATTTTAGAATATTAGCGCTTTAAACACCTTTTTAAAAACTGCAGAATACACTAAACTGTTGTTTCCCATATTCTCCAGCAGATGGAGCCATGCTGGTGTTTCTCACAATTCACTACATGAGTTTTGGGATAAATCGACAGAACCGACCAGGGTTCTCTGCTTTTACCAGCACGACGGATTTGGGGGCTTTTCGGCCTCCGTTACATGTGTTCTTCCTGACTAGTGGAGATAAAACACGCCAAATACATCAGATGGTGCTTAACTTAAATACAACCTTAATTAAATATAACATTTCAGAAAACAACCCTCATGCACGTCATGTGCGCCCACATCACCTGTGTTGGATGTGACAGTTTAATTTCGTTTGTTTTCTTCACTCGTTCAGCCTCTCGATAGAGGGAGAGGTGGCTGGCTGTGAGGAAATAGGATGCTCTACTCTGGGAGGCTGTGTTTCTGTAACCCCGGGTAACAGCTGCTCCACAACTGGCCTCCAAACAGGCACGACCCCCCCCCCCCCTTCTGCCCCCCTGCTGATCTGAGCACTTAAAAAAACCTCTCTCACAGCAGAGATGGGAGGATAAGAGCACACAGTTCTTCTGGTATTATGAAAAAAGAGTGAGAGGCTCTTCTGCTTTGTATGTCGGCCTCACGGAGAGGATTGGGTTTCATCACTGTGACCTGGTTCTTCCTCGTCGTAATCCCTTAATTTAAAGCGCTGCCTCAGAACCTGCGGTGGCCTGAAAACACGATGTGTCCTCTCTTGGAGGGACATCGGGGAGTGTGAGGGTCTCACTTTAAAAGCGTGACCTCACGATATTGTGAATCTCGCCTTGACACACAAAATTTTGATGATTCAGAAATCAATGATAGTGATACAATTCTCAAGAATGAGAAGAAACCTTTCCAGCATCGAGGGAGTGAATAACTCCTTTTATGTCAATAATTAGGTCAAAAAACATCTTGAAATTTGTTTTTACAAATGCAAGGTCGAACAATGTTTTGAAAAAAAGTCAAAATATTTTAGGTGAATGTCAAATGTCATGAAACAATGTGTAAAAATATTATGTAAAAAATAATTTGAAAAAAAGTATATGCAAAAATATGCTAGGTGGAAAAGAGTCTAATCTAAGTCTAATTATGTTAAGTCTTTTTTTTTTATGAAAGTTGACTGAATATGTTCGGTCAAAAAAAAAGTCATAGAAAAAGATTCTAAATATATCTGGTTTAAAAAAAGTCATAATATGTTAGGACCAAAAAAATTCTAAATATTTGAATTGAAAAAATAATTTAAAACAAAGTAAAACAGATCCCAAACTCCAAAAGCGTTAGGTAATCTCATGAAAAAAATACCAGGAAAAAATGAAATTATTTTCTATCTAAATATGTTATGAAGTAATACATCATGGAAAAAAAGGTTTTGAAAAAAATAAAGTTTGTTTGGTCAAAAACACTTTAGAAAAAAAGTTAAAAAAAATATTATTGGTCAAAAAACGTGTTGAAAAACAAGTCAAAAAAGTAAAAAATATTCATGAAAAAAAGTTGAAAAATATTAGGTCAAAAACGGTTTTGAAAAAAAGCTAAAATATGTTTAGGGTTGGCTCAGGGTTATAGTTTCTTGCTGGCTCATTTTAATGGTTAGGGCTGGACGGTGGAAGGTGAAAGAACAAAATAATATGTTTGGCCGGTTTACAGGAAACCATGAAACCAGAACACGGTGCCTCTGTAACATCAAGCACCAGCATGAGGGAGTGACGCTGTGTAATGTGAGGCCCGTTATGCTGCACTTCAGCTTTTTTATTTGGAATTCAAACGTTGAGTCATTTCTTCTTGTGTCACACAGAAAGGTTTGCTATGTTATACATATATAATCAAATATCTAGCATCCAAATTCTTTGGCAAGTTTTAGTTTTATTAAAATTCGATAATAGTAGATAATGGATTGCTTCTCTAATCCAAACTTTTCCTTTTACCTACACTTACACACAGAACCAGTCAAAGGGTTGGATACACATTCTGATGGAATTGAATGAGAAAATGTGTCAAAATCTTTGCTGGTACTGTAAATATCACAATAAGTAATCTTCATATTCATGGTCCTCAGATGATGGATCTTCATGTTTTTTAATTAATTGTTTTCTATCCTGTGTCAAGTACAGAATGCTTCTTCTTTCACAGAGCGGAATGCTTCACGAGAAGTCCGACATGCAGGACCCCCTAACTCCAGGATGCTGCAGAACTACAGGATGCTGAGGACTCCAGGATGCTGAGGACTACAGGATGCTACAGAACTCCAGGATGCTGAGGACTAAAGGATGCTGAGGAATACAGGATGCTGAGGACTAAAGGATGCTGAGGAATACAGGATGCTGCAGAACTCCAGGATGCTGAGGACTCCAGGATGCTGAGGACTCCAGGATGCTGAGGACTAAAGGATGCTACAGAACTCCAGGATGCTGAGGACTCCATGATGCTGAGGACTAAAGGATGCTGAGGACTACAGGATGCTACAGAACTCCAGGATGCTGCAGAATTACAGGATGCTGAGGACTCCAGGATGCTGAGGACTCCAGGATGCTGAGGACTCCAGGATGCTGAGGACTCCAGGATGCTGAGGACTCCAGGATGCTGCAGAACTCCAGGATGCTACAGAACTACAGGATGCTGAGGACTACAGGATGCTACAGAACTCCAGGATGCTGCAGGACTACAGGATGCTGCAGGACTACAGGATGCTGCAGGACTCCAGGATGCTGAGGACTCCATGATGCTGAGGACTCCATGATGCTGAAGACTGTAGGATGCTGAGGACTAAAGGATGCTACAGAACTCCAGGATGCTGAGGACTACAGGATGCTGAGTACTACAGGATGCTGCAGGACTACAGGATGCTGAGTACTACAGGATGCTGCAGGACTACAGGATGCTGAGTACTACAGGATGCTGCAGGACTCCAGGATGCTGAGGACTCCGGGATGCGACACCCATCCACCTTTTTCCGTTTTGTAACATTTGCAGCACAACAATGATGTAAGGCCTCCAGTGAAGTAGGTGCATCATGTCTCCAGGACAACCGACTCTCTGGCAGGTAGGGCAACAGAACGGGCGGAGACTGAATGAGGCAGGCAGACAGAGAGAAAGAGAGAGGGAGGGAGGGAGGGAGGGAGGGAGAGGGGGAAAGTGGGTTACTGCACATTGAGCCTTGTTTTATTGTTGCTCACTGTTATTTACAGGAACATAACATTTTAAGCTACAAATAACAAGCTGTTTCTTTCACAAATGAATCTTTAGTTAATATAAAAATGATGAGGTCTGTTTCAGTTAAACTTTACCTACAGAGAGAAAGATTTTAGTTGATATTAAGCACCTTTAATCTGGATGTTACCTAAGGGGGTGTGTCATGTAGGGAAGTATCAACCCTTCTCCCGCTATCTAATTGACCCTTGGCTAAGTCCCGCCCCCGCAGGTGTCAGAGCCACGTTACCATGGAGCCTACGCTGTCACTGACCCGAAGAAAAAAGGATATGTAATGTGTTAGTTTTGTACTGTAATTAAATTATAACGTTAACCGGTGTTTTTTAACGGTTTCAGAAGAAAACACACTTAAACTGACCATGAAATCTACTTTTGGAGCCAGAAGAGGGATAAAACAACAGGAAATGGTCATCTTGCTTTGAGCTTGTTGTTCTCTGTCAGAATGTCTTCTGTGACGCTTCCTTTTCGCCGCTTGACTTGAAGGAACAAAGGTGAAGGACAAAGGACGCACCCGCCCCGTCAGGTGACGTGGTGCACGGTGACCGCTCGTTACCACGGCGATAAGACCCCTCGGATCCGCTCTGATTAACAAAACACTTCGGAGTGTGTTGTAACCACAGAGTGACGTTGATCGACCTCGATTGTCTCATCAGCTTCACAGATGAGATGTTTATTGTTCATGTTTTCATTTCCCAAAGGTCTTTATGGATGAAAACTCAAAAGTGAAGCACCAAACTGTAACCAGTAATATTTAAAGGTGGATTTTAGTGTACCAAGTACACTCGTCGAAATGTCCACAGAAAACCACAACAAAATGAACCTATAATGTATGAAATATATGTTATAAACATCCAACTTCCCTTTCAGATGTGATGTGGCTTTCTAGACATCGATCAAAAAGAAAAAAACCTCTAAAACAAAAACAATCTTTACAATTCTTTGCAAATGTAAAATACTAAAAGCTATTAAAGGCTATGAGGTCGTGTGTCTAAAGTCAAGGGGGGCTCAGGTGAAGGCTCTTTCTTTTTAATTTAAACTTAAAAGGTTTATATGCTTGTGAGCAGCTGATTAAGCTTAACGCCGGCACCACCTGGACAGCTGCACTGGGATCAGCGGAGTCAGAGGTCAGAGGTCAAATGGTCCCCGTAATCCCTCATTCACTCACTTCAAGATGTGTTCCAGTGATCAATCAACTCAATCCGTCAGGTCTTTTGTTCAGTTTATTCCTGATTCAATGGATTCAATGATCAAAGCTGCACCTTTACAGATGTCAGAGAAACGTAATTATGGATTTACACACAATTTACATCGGTGTCTTGGTACAAAGAGTAATACGACCGAGTCGGAACGTAAAGAATTCAAACTTTTTGAATGTAAAAACCGCTGAAGGGAGCCTGACTCTATTTCCAACACGTCTCAGAGCCGCTCAACCGGACACGCATGTTCTCACAAGAACGTACGGATCTCTGCTTCCGCTTCATTCATTTATCATCCGTATTTTCTCATCTGCTCCCCCATGTCAGAATGGGTCACCATGTGGGGGAATGAAGGACTCTCAGGACGATACACGCCAGCCCTCATGCACCTGTATTTCACTTTTTCACTCTATTACTACGTGGGTCAATATAACAAGAAAAAAAAAGACTTTTCTCGCTGAATTACCTGGTTCATGTTTTGTTTTTCTGTCTGTCACATTTGTGCCGCGGCTCCACGTCGCTCTGCAGCTGCAGAGGGAGCAAAGGGCAGAATGCAGGAATGCAGGAGGCTCACAAAGTGTGCAGAAAGGAGGCTTTCAAACGAAGGCCGCCCCCCCGCCTCCTGCTGCTCCGCCTCCTGCTCCGCCTCGGCTCCTCCGCCCGGTCCGCCTCCCGCCGGACTCCACTCCGGCTCTTCCCTCTCGCTTGTTCCCTGCTCCCGAAAGTAGGTCACTGTTTGCTTTGTATTATTCAGCAACTGGAATGATTGTGAGGGAGGGTTCTTGACTGTGATCTGGGTGACATGCAGCCAGTCGGTGGTGTGCAGGAGAGAGAGAGAGAGAGAGGGGAGAGAGAGGGAGAGAGGGAGAGAGAGGGAGAAAATCCACCCGGCAACAACAACGCACTGTTCCATTAAGATAATGTCGAAGCTAAATGAAACATCCTTTAGCTCTTTTCCTTCCCAACGCTTTAACGTGACCTCAGAGAGCGACCCGTTCGCCCCCCACAGCGGCCTGTGAAATGTTGGGGGCCCTCGGTGAGCAGGTGGGGGGGGGGACGAACGGAAGCGGCGGGAGGTCACAGCGGCACGAAGCGACGCGTAAGAGCATTAATTGCATGTGGACCCGATGACCCGGACACACGAGGGTGCAGCGAGTCTCGCCAAAGCCTGCAGCTCTCTGATCATATCTGGCGGCAGTCGGTCCGCGTGCGTACGTGCCCACTTTGTGTGTGTGAGCAATCGCAGTGAACGCCTTCCCTCCTCTGGCCCTTCCCAGCACTGTGAGTGCAGAGCTGCGTGATCTCTGATCGATGCACTTTGTGACATTTTTTTTTTTTTATTCTATTGGAGTTTCTGAAAGTACAGCGGGAATCAACTGGCGCACGCTACAGAATGGTTGTGGAGAACCACCTGTTGAAATAAGAGTCGCGTGTTCATGTAAGATCTTTCGGTACGACACGCGGTGGCAGAACAGCCGTCAAACGGCCGTGTGACGCATCCTGTCGCTTGTCTGCACGCAGTCTCACTCCGGAGGGAGTTGATGCCAATGGAGGGTCGATGATGAGACAGTAACTAAATGGACCAACGTGAGGAAGCGTCAGTCACAGACGGGAGGTGGTGGGTGGGGGGGGGGGGGTCCAGTAGGGAGACCGTGGCACATCTGGGTCTCCCGCTGCGGTTCTGAAAAGCTTTTCCTGTCTCGTTAACACAAGAAGATTACAGACGTCTGGTTGTTCGTCTTCTCATCTTTTAGTGTTAAACGAAGGTAGAAGCTCGTGTTCTTCTCCTGCCGCCTCTCACAGTTTCGGCACGGTGTTTTTCTCCGTGAGAAACAACCGCCTCACCCGACCGGTATGCAGGTGGGGATGAGAACGTGCGTGTCAATAAAACCTGTCGCCGCTGTCAGCCCTTTTGTTTCCAGACAAGGTGCTTTAAAAAAAAAAACACGAGAGATGTGAGGAGTCGCACGAGTCTCTTACGGGAAGCTGAGAAGGAAAATGTGTGAACGTGCCGAACCTGCACAACAGGTGAGGAATCTTTACAGCGTGGCTACGAGCCAATGTGGAAAGCTACTGTAACCGTAGCAGAAAAACCCAGCTTAAGCTTTGTTAGCATTAGCCAGGAAGCGCTAATGTTTGAACCAAAACGTTCATTCTGCAAACACGGCTGGATGAGTTCAACTGAACGAAGGTTCATTCGATTCATGTAAAGGAAGAATTTTGGTTCCAACGCTCCTTGCAGGAAAAAAAAAAACCTCCCAACACCGAACATCGAACTGAGGAAAAATAGGAGGAGGCGGTTTGTTTCAAACGAGCTTCAAACGAAGGTTTAAAAAGTAATAAAAGGATCCAAATGTTCTGCTCCCAACAAAGTAACGCTTCCCTTTTTATCTCTAACCGTCGTGTTTGTGGCTTTTTGGCGTCACGGGACGTTTGACATCCTGTGTTTCCGCTTTAGGAAGCGGTGGTTGTCTGGGGTGAAATGCCCCCCCCCATGTTTCTGCGGGGGCTCTGCTGGCCTTCAGACTTCCTCATTCAGGATTACCTACAAAGACCAGCATGCATCAGGGTCAACTAGAAGAGACCGGCGTGCCCACCGCGCCCGGCCTCCGAACACGAGTTCCGATAACATCAGACTCGGCGTCCGTCATCACGTGTCCCCGATGCCGTCTCTGCTTTTTGTCAAATGCAAATGACCTCGAGCCGGTTTGAGCTTCTACTGAAGGACAAAACCAGAAGGAGCGTTTTTTCTGAGAGCGAGGGAGCGTTTGTGACGGAGATGAGAGGTCGTTTTTATGGAAGCTGGATCGGTCTCCGGTGGAGGAACGCAGCAGCGAGGACGGTAACTCGGGGGGAACATGCTGTTCCCTGATCGTCTACCCGACGTGTTCCCGCGCGTTCTTTCTTCCCCTCAGCCGACACGCGCGGCTCTCGCTAACCGCCACGGCGCTGTTCACCAACGAGCGACTTCTCCTCTCTCGCCTCGTTTGTCGGCGCCTCCCGGGGTGTGAAAACCGTTGTGCGATGACACGAGCCGCCGCGGCGCCAGCAAGACTCCCCTGAATGTTTGGTGTGAGAGGGAACAGCTGGTGGCGCGCCGGTGTTTCCTTCCTCAGGCCGATGCTCCTCCGGCAGAGGAGCGTCGGCCCACACAGCGCCGGTCCGACAGGACGACACAAATAGAAGCATCAGTGTAGGCGGAGGTGGACCCGGGCACGGGGGGGGGGGGCTTCACTTCTCCCCCTCTCCTGTCGCTTGCGAAGCGGAGGAGAAAGCGCGGCAGCGAGCCAGCGTCTGATTAGCAGGCGATTGGCTCAGAGGCGAAGGAAACGGGGTCGTACGCCAGAGCGAACTGTCCCCTGAGCCTCCCGGACGCTGCGAGACCACGTTGCCTAGGAACAGAAAGAAAACGCTTCTTCCTCAGCGCTCACATCGCTCCTGGTCTTCTTTTATTCAAATACTGACTGATTCTGACATGTGGGTAACGAGGACCAACCCTTTATATAGCAGAGGAGGAGATTTGGGCCTGAATGTGAAGGAAAAGGGCAAGGACATGCTCCAGCCCCCCCCGCACACACACATGTGAATAATCACACGTGTGATGGTTTTTTTCTCCTCCGGTTCGGTTATGCCGTTCGGGTTGGCTCCATAAGAGGATTTTCCCGGTAATCCTCTCGTCAGCTGACTACTTGTGTGCTTTGCGTCTTCGATGGCTCGTCTGCGGGGACACGAGGACATAGAGACCCGTCCTCAGTGCTTGGACTTCATCGCCTTTGAGGTCCACACGTTCCGGTGACTTTTGACTGAAAATGGAAACATAAACACCTCACAGGGACCCAAACAACAACAAAAACAATGTTCTCAAGCCTCAAGTTTGGACTCCAGACGCCGTATGAGGCTAGCAGACACCTGTCAATCAGCATATAGCCCCGCCCTAAAGCATCCCCTGCTTTATGGTCCGTTTGACTCTACATGAACCATAATTCACTAAGTGAACATCATGCTGTATTAAAGAAGACTTAATCTAGAGACTGAGACCATCAACTCATGTTTACAACGTTTACTGAGGGAATAAATCAAGAGAGAAGTAGAGTCATTTCCTCATAGTCGTCTATGGGAGCAGAGGAGTCGCCCCCTGCTGGTCACTACAGAGAAGTAGAGTCATTTCCTCATAGACGTCTATGGGAGCAGAGGAGTCGCCCCCTGCTGGTCACTACAGAGAAGTAGAGTCATTTCCTCATAGACGTCTATGGGAGCAGAGGAGTCGCCCCCTGCTGGTCACTACAGAGAAGTAGAGTCATTTCCTCATAGACGTCTATGGGAGCAGAGGAGTCGCCCCCTGCTGGTCACTACAGAGAAGTAGAGTAATTTCCTCATAGACGTCTATGGGAGCAGAGGAGTCGCCCCCTGCTGGTCACTACAGAGAAGTAGAGTCATTTCCTCATAGACGTCTATGGGAGCAGAGGAGTCGCCCCCTGCTGGTCACTACAGAGAAGTAGAGTCATTTCCTCATAGACGTCTATGGGAGCAGAGGAGTCGCTTCAAACCAACGCGTTTGAAGTAGACGAGCGTGAAAACTCTCTGGGCGACGGGGATCCTGTGAGAGACTTGGTTCCCTGCCCGGTATCTGCCCTTAAACCGGCTCCTGCAGCAGACAAACCCTTTCACCTCCGCTTGAGCCCGAGCAGGACGTCCCGTGGGCCGCTGCCAACAGGATCAACGCACGCACGCAGCGTCCTCCTCCCCCTCCTCCTCCTCCTCCGAGAGTCTGTGAACAGGCCGCGTGCCAACGTGCTAACGCCCAGGGGAGGCTTCTGTAGCGTCGGGTTCGACAGTGAATCTCACGGGAAGATGAGTTTGGGCAACAGAAACGTCGAATGGGGGGGTCACGTGACTGATTTGACAAAGATGTCGACATTTACCCATCAGACGAAGGAAACAGAGAGAGGACATGTGCAAGGAAACGTGTCTGCACGTCCACGCTGACAGCATGTGACTCCACTCAGCGCGGAGCCCAGCAGGGCGCCGCGTGAGGTTTTTATTTGTGTATCTTCGTCTCTCTGCATGCGTGCTCAGGCACACCAATGCTCATCTCCACGGGCGTGAATAGTGGTGAGAGACGAATGCACTTTACACCCAGTGTGAAAGCAAACCCTCGCATAAGAGGAGAGGATGACCCCCCCCTCGACCCCCCCCCCCCCCCCCCGCTTGTTTGTGCCACGTGAAGTCAAAAGTGAAGGGGAAGAGGCGGAAAACAGGATCCATCCAAGGAGAGGAAATGATGATCACTGAGATCAACAACGACAAAGACTCCAATCCGGAGCATAAAGAGGCCGACCCGTCACCGACGTCTACGTCTCGTTGTCGGAACCTTTCATGTATCTGTACAGATGAAGAGGGTCTGCATGCAGATGCAACATGCAGGACCTCCTCTTATCTTCTAGGACGTGCTGTGAGTCCACAGGCCCGGATAGGACCAGAGAGGACCGTCGGAACCAGTTGAATCCAACAGCACCGACATTTTATCACCATCAAGCGTCACAGCAGAAGCTGATGGAGACGCAGAGACGCTCAGCGGATTTTCCCGTCGGCCGACTCGTCCTTTCTGTCTTTCTTCCATAAACAGCATCATTCTGGGGGGGGCGACAGGAACCAACAAACGCAGGTTCTGCTCAAACCGTTTCGTCCATTCAGAGCTCCTTTACTTATTTAATAATCTTCGGAAATAAAAAAAATTTTGAGGGAGAAAAGCTTTGAAAACCTTCAAAAGTTTAGAAAATTAGAGATTCATCCGTCTGTATGTTAGACAGTGCTAACCCTAGCGTAGCATCAACCCATTACCCCCCCCCCAGGCTTTAAATACATATATATGTACATAACTATTTATAGATATTGGAGTATTTTACCCGTCAGCTCTCTGCGTGTGTGTGTGTGTGTGTGTGTGTGTGTGTGTGTGTGTGTGTGTGTGCGTGTGTGTGTGGGCACTCGAGTGTGTGCGGGGGGGCTGGAGTGTTTCTAATGCGACGTGTGGGATGTGGAGATGAGTAACCCTACACCTCAACATCTCTCCCCTGCTGAGAGGAGAGGATGAGCAGGTAGGAGGAGTGTTTCCATTTCTCCTCTTTTGGTGTAATTATGTTTATTAATATTTATCTGCTCACCTGAAACTCAAGTATTGCATCTCATTACTCGGCACACAAAGCGGACCTGAACCGGACCCTAACCCTCTCATTGTGTTCCTCACGGCCCCGTTAGGATGCCGGCGGGTTTGTCAACATGTCACTGCAACGTTCCGGAGATGTGCGTCTTGGCGAGAAGCTCACGTTCAGCGTCTCACTGGTTCCCGTGCGGATCCTTTACTGCAGAAAAGGAAGCTGAGTTCATTGTTTATTGTGAGTTTTATTTTGAAAAGCACCGTGTGCGTGTCTCGCAGCAAAGGTCACCAGGATATTATCCAGAGAATTCCTGCAAACAACCGCTAATGGCAGCCGGAGAAAGGCCTCTGGACTGTTCCGGGGGGGATTACGGAGGAGCAATCACAAGGACTCGGGCTCCGTGTTACGTAACAGTCTTGCTGCACATTCAGGTTCAGCCGCAGCTTAAAGCTGCTGGATTAATCCTTCTTCATTTCATCAGGCTTATTTGCATCCCGTCCATCTTCTGTTGTCGCGTAGAGAACAGACGTTGCTTCGTGTCACCAGGTCGCGTCTCTGCTCTGCTTGTTTTCATCCCTCCCACTTATTCGCTTAGCCGATTTCCACTGCTGTTGAAGAGCAACCGGGTGGAGAAACTTCAGTGAAGACAAAAAGAGATGGAGGTCATCATGGTTCTCTTCTGGTTTGGGCGAAGGTGCCCTGATACTTACCGATATTAAATACATGGGTACAAATACTCAATACAGCGGGTAGAACAAGTATTTGATTTACCGATTATTACCAATTTTGCAGGTTTTCCCCTTAAAACTGATGTAGGAGTCCAATTTGTATCTTCAACTTTGAGTGACTGAATCTAAAACAAAAATCCAGAAAATCACATTGTATAATTTAAAAAAAGATATATTTTGCAGGTTTATTTCATGACCACATGAGTATTTTATACATCAGAAAAGCTGAACATATTATTTGGTACAGAAACCTTTGTTGGCAATTACAGATTCCTGTAGTTCTTGACCACATTTGCACACACTGCAGCAGGGATTTTGGGCCACTCCTCCATGCAGACCTTCTCCAGATCCTCCGGGTTTCGGGGCTGTCGCTTCTCTAAAGCTTTTCTATGGGGTTCAGGTCTGGAGACGGGCGAGGCCACTCCAGGACCTTGAGATGCTTCTTACGGAGACACTCCTTCGTGGCCCCGGCTGTGTGACCCAGCCACGACCCATCTTCAATGCTCTCACTGCGGGAAGGAGGTTGTTGGCCAAGATCTGGCGATACATGCCCCCCATCCATCCTCCCCTTTGCAGAGGAGCATCCCCAAAGAGAGAGGTTTCCACCTCCAGGCTTCACGGTCGGGATGCTGTTCTTGGGTTTGAAACTCATCCTTCTTCTTCCTCCAAAAATGGTTTAGACCAAAAAGCTCTATTTCCATCAGACCACATGACCTTCTCGCATACCTCCTGTGGGTCATCCAGATCAGATACTGTATGGCCAAATCCGGCCCGCCGCCGGAGTGTGGACGGCCGCCGGATGACTTTGCTATTGTGAGGGACGAGAGGCTGGTCGGGTCTTTTTCTTAATATCGATTCGTCTTTTATACAGGTAACATTCTTACTGGTTGGTGATCGAATACTTATGTCAGGCAATAAACTGCAAAAGATTTTTTTTTAAATCATACAATGTGATTTTCTGGATTTTTGTTTTAGTACCTATGATACAAATTACACACTCTGGCAAAACCTGCAAAATCTGCAGTGTATCAAATGCTTGTCCTCTGTACGCTGTGTGTATCGCTACGGTCTCAAACAACTGGAACGGAATTTTCAATTTGAATATAAACATTATCAATTGGAATTCAAATTTGTAATTCACACTTGAATTCGGGTTAATTTTGAAGATTGTTATTCATATTATATCTAGACAAATAACAATGAATTCAATGTACCGCTTTGTATTTATCGGTTACATTTGTGTTGAGGAGGCACGATTGATTTGGTCACCGATGGGATTGAATAAATCCACTTTGCTTCGGTTCCTGTCGAGGAAAATATTAAAGGCCATCGTTGGCTTCCAGCTCCGTCTCACTTTCTTCTAATAAATCCCAGCAGGACACATAAAGGCCACCCCTCCCTTTTCCACCTAACAATCAATCCCTTTTTTTCTGTAATTTTCATTAATAGTAGTCGTTATGAAAGCAGGCCTCTGCCGCCCCGTGCCTTTGGATAAATATAAGTGTTGGTGGGGGCATTTCACTCAGCTGAATGCCTCCATTCACATGATTGGTATCAAGTGAAGAGGATAAAAAGGGTCAAATGACGGGCTCACTCGGAGGGCGCTGCTCCGTGCGTCGGTCTTTATCTTGAGACTCAGTCGTTTTTTTATAACTACCATTTTCACAGAGCTGAGAGGCTTCGGAAGTCTTCTTTTTTCGTGCCCTTGACTGATGGGGGGTGACTAGGGGGGGGGGGGGGGGGGCGCTTCCACACAACACGCGTCTTGTTCTGCCGACTCTCACAATTCAGAAACAAACACATGACCAACGCCGCTCTAAAAAAAACCTTCAGCTGTTACCGCGACCTTTAACCTCTGGCCCTTATCTGTCATTTCGGTGACTTTTCTTGTAGAGCAAACAAAAGATAAAGATCTTCGTCGTTAGTTCGGCCTTTTTTTTTGCCTCAGGTGTTCGCAACATCTGGATGGTTCCCCAGCAGCTGCGTTAGCGTTGGTCTTAAAGGTACAGCGCAGTCATGGGGATCCACCCGCAGTAAAGGACTTTTATTTCCTTTTTAGAAAACAACTATTGTTTGTGTTTTTGTGTCCTTCTTCATGGAGTCCGCCATGTTTCTACAGTAGCCCAGAAGGGACAAACGTAAGATGGAAAGGTTGTGTGTACACCTATGGGTCCTACTTACATGAGATGCACTCTATAAATGAAGCTTCGGCTTATCAAGCCAACGGCTTTCATATCCTTTTGTTTCCATCATGGGAACGTCAAAACCAACTACTTCAGGACAGGTGTCACATTTTAAAGGACACTTTCATCCTGCAGGGTTTTTGAACTTAAACATCTCGTGATGCAGAAGAAGGAGAAACCAGACTTGCTTTCATGTGGGGAAAAGAGAGAGGATTCTTAATTAGAGTCGGCGTGGCATCTTCACGCGGACGAGGCTCGCAGCTTCTCGCCTCTACAATCGAAGCCTTTTAAAAAAGCTTTGTGTTTTGTTCAGCTCCTCGTTCCCGTTGTCTGTGTGTTTTTCGGGCGGCGCTGATGATACAGCGGAGCGAGGCCTTTTCGTTATTTATTTACTTTTGACTGTGACTCAGCAGAGACTCCAGAAAGCCTCCGTTTCCATGTGGGTAGAGTTGCAGTCTGCAAACAGCCATTGGTGGAAAGTAGGTCGAGTTTAGATTCACGTCATCTCTGCAGAGCATCACACCCCCGCCGCCCCCCCCCAGCCGACCCCCGTCGCTCTTTTGAATTAAAACCTGTGTCACTTTGACTTGCAGGATGTCTGCGTGAGGAGGACTGAGAGGAGTTTGAGCTTTGGACACCAGAATGACTTTATTACCTTTATTAGGTAAGGTAATAAAGGAGTAATACATGGGTAGTTTTTATGTGTTGTGTTTAGTTTCAGGTTAAAATGTCTGCTGAAGTTTAAAATTCTTGTTTCATTAAGATGACATGAAGACATGTTTTTTTTTTAGATACAAGCAATGATTCTGTTTCCTGTTAGGAAAATGTTGTTAAAAAGAGCCTTTGACTGACGAGTATTCCGCATTGAAGTGGATTGTTGCTCTAAATACCTGGAGGTGCAGCAATTATAAGAAACCACACAGATCACTTATAACATAAAACACTTTTGGACGACGGCAGCAGTTTGTCGAAGGAAGAACAATGATTGATCGGCGCTCAGTGGAAGTCACCGTAAATCACTCCCGGCAGCTCCGAGGTTTAAAACGAGCCAAAAGCTAGAAGGTAATTTTGACAAAAGATATTTACCAACGCAGCAATTCTTAATTAAAACATTTACGGGCACCATGAAAAATAAATTCTACTAAAAAAAAACAAAAAAAACATAATAAATATTTTAAAACCTCCAATGGGAACGAAGTACCTGTAATTTCCCGCGTGATGTGAACGCGCCGCGAGAAGCGTCTAATCCCGCCCCTCCGCTCTGACGTCACCGCGCCAGTCTCCGCACATGGCTGGAGAGGCGCCCCCGCCCCCTCCCCCCTCCGCCCCCGCCCCCACCCTTCTCCCTCCCTCGCAGCTATTTGCCAGCCAGCTCGGTCTGCAGGCAGCCAGCCGCTCGCCGTCCTGCCGCCGTGAGAGACCCCCGTCTCCGCCCGCCCGAGCCTCCCGGCGTTCGTTTTCTTCACCGCCGTCTGCGAGAACCTCCCGAGTGGGAGGGGGTTGGGGAGGGGGGGGCGAGAACCCCAAGATAGCGAAGGGATAGCGGGGGTTTTTGTTTTTGTTTTTGTTTTTCTTCCTGTTTTGTTTCCCTCGACGTTGGCAGAGGAAATTAATTCCCCGTTTTCTCCCACTGCGCTTTTTCTCGTCGAGACATCATGGAGAAAATGGCCAGACCTCTCGCGATGAACCCGACCTTCGCGCCGCCGTCTCACGGCGTGCTGAAGTCCCTGCTGGAGAACCCGCTGAAGCTGCCCTTCCACCACGACGGAGGTACGATTCTATCCGCTGTCCGGCCGCCGCACGACGGTTCAACCGCAGCGGCTGAATCCACGCACGAGTCCTCGCGCCTTTTTACCAGCTTCCCTCGGGGGGAAAAAAAACAAACAAGCTGTCCTTGTTAGCCGAGCATCGGGGATATGTCAAAAGTAGTGATGATTGTTTCTTCACCTCCGTTCGGGCTGACGAGACGTGTTCTCTAAATATCGCGCAAAAGAGCCGCCTGCGCGTGTTGTTATCGCGACTGCGCTTTTTTTTTTAGCCCCGCAGGTGCTTCGTTTAAACCTCCTTCAGCCGCGAGGCGCCGCTAGAGGGCGCGCTTCTGTTGTGAAGCCCTCGCCCACCGGTTGAGTGTATTCAATAAAAAATACATTTTATTTATAGAGCCCTTAATAGACATTTAAATTATTGTCATTAAGAGAAAGAAGCTGTTTACCCAATTAGTCACATGGGTAGTTCGGGGTTATTAAGTAGACGAACAAGAGACAAATATTTGTCCCCCTTTGTTTATATTCCAATGCATTGACATCCTTTATCCCGTGCAACCCGCCTCAGGATTTGTGAAGGACCAGGAGAAGGAGAAGAAGCTGGAGGATGAGAGCAGCACGGCCAGCCACCCGCAGTCGGCCTTCCTCGGCCCGACGCTGTGGGACAAGACGCTGCCCTACGACGGGGACAACTTCCAGCTGGAGTACATGGACCTGGAGGAGTTCCTCTCGGAGAACGGCATCCCCGCCAACGCGGCCCAGGGCGAGCAGGCCCCGCGGGGGGCCGCCACGCCGCCCGCCACCCCGCCGCCGCCGCCGCCGCCCGCCGTGGTGGACCTCAGCAGCCGAGCCACCACCTCGGTGCACGCCGGCATGGCGCCGCGGACCTGCCTCCGCAGCCCCCCCGCCCCAGGTAGGCAAACCTGGTCACACCCCCTCCGGTGAGGGAGGGAACAGGTCCTCGCAGTCTGTGTCCCTGAAGGCATCGCCTCACATTGCGCGTCTCGTTGGGTCATGTGACCGCGGCTCTCTGGGCTCGGTGTGTGTGTTTGGTTTTTTTACGGTCCTGAACTGGACTTTGGAGTCCGGCAGCGCCGCCCGAAACGGGGCACAAGTCCAAGAATGCAGCTCAGACTCAACGCAAGCTGTGATTGGCCCCAACGGCAGGAGTCCCGCCTCACCTGGGGGTGAAGTACGCCTGTGTACCTGCGGGCTTCGATGGCAGCAACAGACGTGTGATTCAGTGCGTTGCTGATCAAATGGAGCCGATTAGTCGTGTGTTGATTGACGAGTGAAGGAGTGACGCTGACCTGCTTCAATTTTTAAAAACCTGAGCCGACAACTCGTTACAACAGCTGTGCCAGATGTTGGCAAGCAGAGCGTTTATCGTAGACAAATGATGCATGTTGACCAAAGATGACTTTTTTAATCAAATGTTTAATTGTTTCGACTATAAAACATCACATAAAAAAAAGGAGACGATCTGAATCTTCTAAAATAATATTTTAACCAAACAACAAGTAGAAGAGAACAAAGAAGTTTACAAAGATCATGAAAGCTTTCAAATCATTTTCAAATCATTATTTCACTTCTTAAAGTCTCTACAGAGTGTGTGTGCGTGTGTGTGTGTGTGTGCGCGTGCGTGTGTGTGTGTGTGTGTGTGTGCGTGCTCGTTCACATTTGCCTCTCACGTGACGGGGTTTCCTGCAGCGTGCCGGGCCATGTGACGGACACATGCGGGTGCACGGCGCTGAGCTGCAGACGAGAGCTTGTCACGGCATAAACCTCCTCACCCGCCCCCCTCCCACCCCTCCCCTCCTGCTCCCCCCTCCCCCGCCGACACTCTCCACTTCCCGCCCGGTCTTCCTCCCCCCTCCTCGGAGCCAAAGCACAGGCTGTACCCTGCAGACATCACATGGGCTCTGGTGTGCTTTTTGTCACGCGGGCGCCAAATAATGTTCCAGCTCGTCATCGTCTAGCCGGCCCCCAGCGGCGGCCAAGGAGGACAACAACAACACAACACTATAACCCACCCCAAATCCCCTCTGTGATACAATCCCTCGGTCCCTGGTGCGTTGGTCGTGACGACCTAGAGCGGCTTAGAGGGTCGCCCAGGCCCGTGAAGATGTGGGAGGGGTCAAAGTGCGTCGCGTTACTCGGATAAAAGCCCGGACGCCAAAACAGTCCCCGGGCGTGTATTAGTTCCTTCTCCTTCTTTCAAGGCTCCGTAGTCCCCTCAACCCGGCCGGCGGCTTTCCCCCAAAATACGGAGAACTATTTTAAGCGGCGAGATAATCCCGCATTTGATGCTCTAGTGGGGTGTTTGTGTGTGTGTGTGTGTGTGTGTGTTCAACAGTGATGTGTTTTTTAATGGAGTTCAGTGGCTCGACCACGGCAGACTTTGATACACGTATGATGCCATATTCTCGATAACACGCTGCACACTTGTGTTGGTAAAACGGGTTTACGCCCCATCGGGGGCGAAAGCCCGAACGCTTTTTTTTAAAGGGCGCTGCCCCCCCCCCACACCCCCTCTCCCCGAGGAAGCCGTGTCGCACCCAGGTCAGAGGTCAGCATCTCCGCGGCTTATCACCAACCGGAGTCTTAACCACATACACGAAAACGCCACTCCTGTGTGTGTGTGTGTGTGTGTGTGTGTGTGTTTTGACTAATTAGCCGATGGGGGGGGGGCGGAGGTGATTAGAGGAGGTGATTAGAGCCTCGCTCTACTTTTAGCCGGTAAGCAGCTCGCCGTGTGGCTGCGCTCGGTTTACGGCGAGCGGAGGTCACGCTGCTCGGATGTGTTTTATTAATATCGAAGTTCTGCAGCTTCCTTCTGTTTCTCTCTGGAAGCTTTTCTCACGTTTTATTGATCAAACGATCAACGAATGAACCCAGATCAGATTCTCACTTCGGTGGTTTTGTAACGATTTTATAAATTAGATTCCAAGTGGAAAAATACCATTAACTTGATGATGAAAATAAGGACCTGCGTTTGTTTGTTTGTTTGCTTTAAAGTATGAATTGCTTTTCCGACGTTTAGACGTTTGAACCCAACAGCCATATTTTTTTTATTTCTGTATTATTGTTTTTCTCTCAAATCCCCTGCGGCCTGCAGTTCGACCTTCGGCTGAAGGTCGGCGCCATCGAGCGGCCGCCGTGGGCTCGGTCCCAAAGGTCCCAGATGTAGGTCGCGATGTGCCGGCGGCGTCACGCCGGCGGCTCAAGCGAAGCCCGCCGGGTCACACATTTGTTTCATCACAGGGCATTTAGTGCTGCTGTAAAGAACTCGCAGGCCCAGCGGGCCTGAAGAGAGGCCTGAGCGCCGCCGCCCCCTGCTGGCCATCCGGGTCCATTATGATGCGTTCAGGCTGCATTCAGTAGATTAGAGATTGGAATTTATCGAATTATTAACGTTCCGGTGAGCAGAATGAAAGAAGTGGAGACACGCAGCGACGTTTTCTAATTAAAACCAAATACGTATTTAAATAAAGCTCAACGTGTTCATCTGAATCTGTGTGATAGCAGCTGTAATGTGTGATTCTGCAGCGCTGCCCTCCGCCCGCGACACCCCCAGCCCCATCGACCCCGAGTCCATCCAGGTGCCGCTGGCCTACGAGCCCGACCCCCAGGACCTGGCGCTGTCCAGCGTGCCCGGCCAGGAGATGTTCGACCCCCGCAAACGCAAGTTCTCCGCTGAGGAGCTGAAGCCGCAGCCCATGATCAAGAAAGCCCGCAAGGTGTTCATCCCAGAGGACCTGAAGGTGAGTCTTTAGGGGGGGGATACAGACGCCTGCTATGATGTAATTAGGCCAATAAGAGCCTGGGGGGGAAGAAGCCCCCCACGGAGTCATTTGGCCCGTATGAAAGAGGACGTAGGACTTAAAGCGTATGATTTAAAGTGACAGCGTCTGCTGTTAGCGAGCCAATGAAAAGATGCTACAATTGTAACAGTATTTCGTTTTTTGTAAAAACGTTTTCTGTAACGTTTCCAGGACGACAGGTACTGGGCGCGGCGCAGGAAGAACAACGTGGCGGCGAAGCGTTCCCGGGACGCCCGGCGCCTGAAGGAGAACCAGATCGCCATCCGGGCCAGCTTCCTGGAGAAGGAGAACGGCGCCCTGCGCATGGAGGTGGCCGAGGTCAGGAAGGAGCTCGGCCGCTGCAAGAACATTGTGGCAAAGTACGAGGCCCGGCACGGGCCCCTGTGAGGGGCCCCCCCACCCCAAAGGAAACAACCCAACCACCCCCCCTGTTCTCCCTCAGCCCTCCCTCTCGTTTGAAGGACAACGTGTCTCTTTTTGGTGGAACTGAACCTCCAGCCCCCCCCACTCCTTCACCCCCCCCCCCCCCCCCCCATCACGAACCTCACTTTGTCAGTTTGTTTTGTTTTTTCTGTACTCGTCTAAACACATACATGTGTATTAATACATGCATATTCTATAGGAGTTATGAGCCCCCCCCCCCCCCCTCGCTACCTTCCACTTTTTGAGAATCGATGCCATGTTGTCTTTTCACTTTCATACCAATTTTATACGTGAGATCAGGACTGTAAACTGCTGCCCCCCCCCCTTTCTTTTCTTCTTCTTTGGTGTTATAGGAACCAGCGTAGAACCTGCAAACCTTTTTATAATCCAAACAATGTTTGCTTTTGTGCGTGTGCCCCCCCCCCCCCCCCCCATCGGCACTGAATCTTTTTATCAAACTGGTTTTCTTGATGTTGTGTCTCAGTCGTCTCCACTCGAGCTTCACTCTGTGTTTTTTAAAGATGGCACTTAAAAAAAAAAGTCCCCCCCCCATTTGAAGCGATTGATACATTGTGATCCGGCTCGTTGTCTCCACACGCTCATAAATGTCCTCCGCCTCATATTTCTCAGATGGAAGATTGTTGTTTTATAAATATATATATATATATTCTGTTAATAGAAATGTTAGCATTGATGCTACTTGTTGTTTAGCCCCCCCCTCGCTTTCAGATTCAAGCTTCTTCCTTCTTTCACAGGATAAAATTAGCAAATTGCTTTGTTTTTTTTCAAAGTTGTTGATAATTCTTCTTGCTTCTGCTAAACTTCAGCATGATTAATAGTGTTTTTATTTGGTAGGAGTCCGTTCAGAGATCTCGTCCCTCGTTGTGCCCGTTTCCCTGATGATGCTGGATGAATGTAACAGGAGCTGGAAGGTGTCCCGTACAAACAGATCATATATTGGTTACTAGAGAAATGTTTATATGAAACTTAGTCCAAACCTTGTTCCTTTTGTACAGTATTTTTCCTACACATTACTAAACTATGTATTTTAAAGGCACAGCAGATCCAGAATATTATTAAAGAATACAAATATATATATATATATATATATATATAACTCAAAAAGACATAGTGGTATTTTCTATATTCGCTAAGACGCGGTAGTTTTAAACAGGACATTAAGCAGCCCCCAAACCTCCTCATCATATATACATATAATATATATATATTATATACACACACACAGTTTGCCTCTGGCGATGCAGATGCTAAAAGAATGTACAGTCAGGCACTTTGTAGGAATTCATCATAGTTTAGTGTTCTGACCCCCCCACACACACACACACACACACACAGCAGTTATTCACACAGGTAAATATTATTTTAGTTTTCTAACCGCGCAGCTCGTTCGATGCTTCTCTCTGATCTGATTTGACGGATTAAAGTTACTATGAAGGAAGGGAAATCCATAGCTGGTTGCTCTGCGTATCGTGTCCCTGAACCTGAGTGATGCATGATGGGAAGCTGCTTTTATTTTTTTATTAAAAGGAGACTTGCAGTAGATCCCCCCCCACACCTCCCATTGACAATCAGTCAAAGACTGTGACGGATTTGTATGTTTTTGAGGGCTGCTGTTGACATTTCTGATTGTTTGTAAGTCCACAGCCGCCGATATTAAATCATCCAAAGAAATAGTTTGACATTTTGAGATATTATTCACACTCGTATAATGAGAAAATAATTCTCTTAAAAAGACACAAAATGCACATGAACAAAGAGACTGACAGCAACATTTATTTAAATCATGAATATTCTAAAACCAGAGGATTTTATTTGAATTCATGTAGTTTTCTATATATATATATATATTATATATATGTGTATGTATGCACTGTAAGAAGAAAATGTGTATTGTTATTTTAAACACTGCACAGTTCTCCGCTGTGTGTCTGTTTCTCTCTCGCTGTCTGACTGCAGCTTCTGGAAACAAACGAACGTTTAACTACGTTAAAATATTTTGTTGCATTAATCTCGGCCACGTTTGTTGACAGCCCTAATATATATATATATATATATGTGTGTATATATATATATATATATATATATATTATATATACACATATCTCTTAATTAAAACACAAAAATAAATAACTTTTGCATTTGTATTTAAAGTATTTCATGCGTAAACTGATAGTAAATGAAATTCAAATGAGCTGAAGTTATTTCAATCTCAGTAGGTTCAGTCCTGGACTTGATATTTGTGTGTTTGGTTCCATTTAGAGTTTAATAAAAACACAAAGTACTCTCTAAAAGAAAGCCAACATCATCCCAATACAACTGGTCAGATCCCAGTCCGTACTGGTGGAACGTTGTCCATCCAAAGCGTTGCGTGGAACAGGCTTTTTAGAGACATGGATTAAGATTACACACACAGATATCTAGATACGTACCCGCTTCTCACTACCTGACCGGAGTCTATTCCCGTGCCTTGAACACACCGTGTCCCGGTAACGTGAAGCCCTCACAGAGACCCGACCGGCCCGAAGGCGGCTTCTCGCCCCAAAACATCTAACACGTATTATTATTCATTACCAACGCTGCTGGTTTCCGACCGGTAACCATCGTCTTCATGGCAACACCAGCGCACTGTTTGTGTGTGCAGGCGGCTCGTGAAAGGTGGCGGTTGTCATGGAAACAGGAGCGTGGCGTGCGTGTGCACGCGCGTCCTGCTCGGTCTTTTGTGGTGTCCAATAAATCCAATAAATAAATCCTTTTCCTCCGTGTCGGTTCTTAATATTTCTGGGTTAAGAGTATTTCACGTTCGCTTTACTTCTATTTGTGAAGTGAATTATTATTTTTTGCAAACTAAAATATCACAATGTAGAAGTAAATCTGTACCAAAATTAATTTTGTTGACCATAGATCATTTCAATAAAACAAATTAGTAATTTCACAGCACTAGTCTGGCTTTGTAAGTATTAACCAACTCATCTAGATTTACTTTTAATTGTGTAATAATTAAATAAACTGAACATGTTTTAAAACCCTGAGAGAAGGTGTGAACGAGGACGTCTGGAGGCTCAGCATCATTTATTATGGTCACAATAGAATGGGGGGGGGGGGCATTCATGTGAATATGCAGCAGCACCATTAACAATCAATGGAAAAGACACAAAAAAAGCAGCAGTCCTGTTTTGTTTTTGTTCTTCTCACCCTGCGGAGGCCGGGATCACGTCATCAACGGGTCGGACGACAGGAAGTACAAACGTTTACAAAACACAGTGGTTATTAACTTAAGAAATGTGCCATGTGCCCCCACCCGAGCAAATCTACACGAGAGATGGAGCGGCGTGGGGTTGCAGACAGGAAGCGGTTGGTCCTCGTGGGAATGAGACGCGCCGCTTCTCACGCTGAGAACAACGTGTTCCCTGAAACTGGTTTGCGTTCATCGTTTGGCTCATTTTGGCCCTGAATCGCTGATTTGGTCACTTCCTCCGCCCCACCAGCAGGGGGCGCTGAATACTGACAGGAGAAGCTGTGGCTGATCAGAGGACAGATAACAAACCGCGGGTCAAGAAGGTCACGTGGATCAGACTGTAAAAAAGGTAAATGACTAAACTGAGCTGTTGTGACAAATTGTCTCTAAAGAAATAGATTAGAAACCTTTGGTTTCTTTTGAAAATGAAACTGTTTTGTTTTTCCTCAAACGCAAAGTCGGAATTAAGAGCCCCCCCCCGCTACTTTGTAAGAGCCGATTCTTAGCACCTCGTATCCGCAGCGTTCAAGTGGAAGAAAATCCAAGTTTACAACAAAGAGAATGATGAGAACAATAAATCACCCGAACGTGGAATGTGACAAACGATACAAAAGACTCCTGAAATACTCAATGAGTCTCATTGTAAAAAGCCCCCCCCCGCTGTCCAGTTGGGTTTCTGCCTGAAGTTGTACAGCTTTTTGTTTAGTCATGGCGATCCTAGAAGATTCTCCGCCCCGTAAGAAAACAGTAAACAATCTACGGTCATTATCTTCGGGACTCGGCTCAGCTGCACGCAGACGCTGGAGGCATCGGACCCCCCCCCCCCGTGATCACGTCTGCTGGGGCGCCTCCGCGCCGGGGGCCTTGTAGAGGTACTTCCAGATGGCGTAGTAGTGCACGGCCGCGGCCAGCGCCACGAACACGTGCCAGATGGCGTGGGCGAAGGGGATGACGCCGTCGCTCTTGAAGAAGAACACGCCGAGGCAGTAGATGAGCCCGCCGCACGCCAGCTCCTGGAGGCCCTCCGTGTTGCTCTGCAGGGGGCCAACGAGACGCCGTGAGACGCGGTGAGCTTGAGAAGACTTTCCTCAGTTCAAGGCGCATCTTTCTAAAGCATCGCTTTAATACGAGCTGACACCACTAGAGGGCAGCAGGCCAAAGAGATTCCATTTAACTGGTCCTCCCTTTGCTGTGAATCAAATACAACGGGACTGTAAATCATGAAGAATGACGTTACCATTGATGTCACGACTGACGCGGGGAAGAATCCCATCATCAAGTAGAACGCCAGCTCAACAAGTTTATATCTGGGGAGACAAACGGAGACGACGCGTTCACTGAGTCACGGACTTATCAGCTTCCGTCCCGATGAAGATACTGTACGTCAATTAGGAACAAACTAATCTGCTCATGATGTTTAAATGTGTAATCTGACCCTTTGTGTGAGAATATTCTGTGGATTACACATTAACATGCAAACTCTTTCCCACAGATACGCAATCTAAGGCGGGACGTTACATCACTTGTCATTTAGCTGACGCGTTTATCCAAAGCGACTTACAATGAGTGCGTTTCAACCATAAGGAAACAAACTCAGAAAAAAAAGATATAAGAAAGTGCAATTTCATCAAATAAGCCGATTTACAACCTGCTGTAGATAAGAGTCATTATAGGAAACAATTTAAGTGACACAATTTGTTTAGTGTTTCACTGGTTATTGTTGAGATTTGGTTTATTAGCTTGTTGATCCATCGACACACACTCAGGTTTGTATTTTATGACTTAGTCTATCTGCATCTGTAAATTTCTCCTATCAAACGTTGGCATTAGTTATTCCTTGGTTAAGGTCCCTCAGAGTGTGAACAATGCATGCTTCATTAGATGCTGCCTACATGTCTCAACTAGTGGTCACGGAGACTGAGACCAGAACTCACTTTTCATGATAGTTGAAGACGTAGATGGTTCCAGCAGCAGCCATGAGCCACACAAACCAGCGCATGTGAGCCGCGAGGGGGCCGAGCTCACGCAGGTTCAACCTGAGCAGAAACACGCACATCCGGATCAGACTCTCATGTAGGACTCAGGGCGCAAAGTGTCCTCAAAGTGTCCTCTGGGGGACGCTCACCAGGGTGTGTACGAGGCGGCGATGAAGAAATAGATGACCACCCTGTCGCACATGTGGAAACACTGCTCCACGGACCTGAAACAAACAAACCGGCCCATCGGTTTACTTTAACAAACCTCTGCATGGCAGGAAGTGACCATAAACCACCAGGTGAACGTTGCTATGACCCTGAACGCAGTGAGATGTTCACACCTCATGTGGCTCCTCTTCCAGGTGATGATGTGGAACACGGTGGAGACCAGGAAGAGGGCGCACAGGCCCAGGCCGTACACCCAGGCCGTCATCTTCTCCCAGCCGTTGTCCGACAGGCGGTGCAGCAGCGCCATGCCCACGAAGGCCGGCGCGATGAGGAACTGCAGAGATGGAACCAAACCGTTGAAACATCCCGTTAGGAGGCCAGGTTGATTGAAACATTAACGTGATATTAACGGAGGCCACCCACCGCATGGGTGTAGCAGTTGGCGGCGTGCTCGTAGCAGGTGGGCTGGTAGCGGCCGTTGGCCGAGGCCCGTCTGTTCATGAACCTGAAACACACAGAAATGGAGGATTATGGATCGCCGAATGGACCCTGTACCACTTCCACAGAGAAAGCATTGATTTAAAGGGGGTTATCTTTATTGCAGTGCGAAATACAATAAAGGAAATTAAGCAACGGGGCTCAAGGTTTTACGGTGCGATAGGTAGATGTCAATCACAGAAATAAACACGAGAGCACTCCAGGTGGGAGATAAGAAGTAGAGAATAAATAATGGACTCTAATCTTTACTTAGAAACCAGTTACATCATATTACACGCTACGATTTTTGTAAATATCGTTTTTTAGAGACCTCAGTTTATTGTGTGACGTTAACCATAAGATGCTATAACTTGAACAATGTAACAGAATTCATAACATCACATAAATAACATATTCGTCTATGCATTAGGTTACTCCTCCTGCTTTAACAAACTGTATTTAATATCATTTCCCATTTCAGAGAGCAGATTATTGTGCTTCTTTTACTGGTTAATATTCCATTCAGAGCTGAAAGCAACATTTGTAGTTATATGATTTAGTCAAAGATGAATTATGAGTGTCTGGTTTAAATAACGTTAGTCCACAGACACTAAATGTACAGTGATATTATTACTGCTTCTTGTTGACACTCAAACGAGTTCAAAAAGTGTCTCAGGATTTCAGTCCAGTTAAAACGTATCGACGGTTTCTGATGGCAAAATGAAACGACAATCACCATCAAAACAAAACGGAGTTATTGTACATGAAGAATAAGTCAACCGATCACAAGTGACACCAAAACGACAGCGTGACGTCACACCAGAGGCCCCACCCCCAGAGAAACATAACGTTAATTTATGACAGTGACATATTAGCATTTTACAAACCTTTGAAAGCTGTTTATTCTCTTCATTTCAGTGCTTTATCCCCCACAGGACGCAAAAGACGTGAAAAGATCTAAGTATAAATCTAATACTTTACATCAGCGAATGAAAGCTCTGCTCAACCAAAGAATAAAACAATGAACCTGGCAAAAGGAGGCAGACCGCCTAAAATTAGCGAGCGAGCTAACGATATGCTAATCATGGGCTAACTTTCACTACAGCTACAAGGCACCGGAAGCGTCAACTTCTCCGACTACGAAGGCCCCATTTTAGTCGTTTTCTTAATACCATTCTGTTACAAATACTGGCTCACTGTCTCTTCTTCAAGCTGGAAATATCCATGAGCACCAGCAGCTGCCCGGGGCAGACCGAACAAAAAGACCCCCGCTAGCACCGGCCAATGACGGGCAACTCCACCCCCGGTGAGTCGCTCAGCTGAAAATATGGGCGTGCTTTTGGTGCCTTTGCGCTCAACGGGTGACGGTGGCGTGAGCCAATGAGCGGGGAGATGCACCGGGGAATCAGGCCAATCAGATGCTAAGTAGGCGGTGTGATGTGAGAGTGATTTGGATTGACGGCAGAGTGAGCCAATGAGCGGGGAGATACGCCTGGGAAGCAGACCAATCAGGTGCTAGGTAGGCGGTGCGATGTGAGTGTGATTTGGATTGACAGTGGAGTGAGCCAATGAGCGGGGAGATGCCGGTTGTTAGGGAGGCGGTGTCGTGTGCAGCTGCTCGTATGATTTCTCATCGGGGAGGGATTAGTGGATGATTAGAATAATAGAGATTGCTAAAAAATAAAGTTGACCCCAAAGTTTGCAGTTAATAATGACTGATAATGTATTTTTGTGTCCCTTGCCCAATGTGGTTTTATGCAGTTTGATTTGATTTTAACAGAAAGATTAGTTCAGCCAAACGTGTAGGACCAATATTCACATCAACATAAATTATTCTGAGCTTGATTGGTTAATATCACAGTGTTGCATTTTTCTGTGGTGATAATGATGGATGACTGGAAGAAGTACTGGGAGGAGATTTAATATAAATGCATTTAGTTAATCTTTTGGAACAACTGATTGACTGTGTTTTTGGTATCATGATATTCTGCACTTCATACAGCATAAAACACAGGCGTTCTATTTACTATTTATTTGACAGAAAAGTGCACAGCTCACACAGCGACTGTGAAACCGCTCAGTTACGTAAGAGCACTGCAAGTGTTTGATGCAACTATTACATAAGAGCAAACCCGATGAACCCTGCGCATGTTTTCTCTGACAAACGTTTTTTTCTTTCATCGGGTACAGATAACCACTTTCTCTTGAATTACAACAAGTATCTTACAAAAATAGATCTCTTATATATCAGAAAACCCTAAAGAGAAAGGTGAGGCCTATGAAATGAAAATTATCTGGGCCTTTGTGGCCTTTGTGGTGTTTACACACAATTAGACTCTGAGCTGTACATTTAATTTATCAGACATTCATTTCCATATTGAACATGTTTTACGAAATGATTGTATTTATTATTTTATAATGGTTAACAAATCACATTGTTCACTACTTGTGTGACGTCAGACACAGCTTCTTCCTACTTCCTGCTTTAGAGGTTGAAAGTTCTGGAATTTCGGGTTTTCCTCGAATGCAGCATTGCCCACATTAACTCAGTGTGGCATTTAATGTGCGGCTTCCCTCCCCTGACTCGTTGAGCAAAAGAAAAAGCTTTGACACATGGACATGTGTTAAGGTAACATTCCAATAATAAAGCGATTCAATTGGTCATCAATGCATGTTTAAGGAAAGCTGCCAAAACTCCATGAACCCATCAGAGCAATGAAGGAGTCACGTCTCTGCCCTCATAGGTGCCAATCAGCTAAAAGGGGGGATTAAGGACCTGTCAATCAAACTGCAGGTCCACACAGTCCTAAGAAGGTGTCTCATTTTAATCTTCTTTAATTAATGATTCACATGTTGAATGCTAACGACGTGCGGGCGGAATGAGATTCATCTTTTTATTTTTCAAAGGATTATTTTAAGCTCATATAAAAGGAATCATTTCTGAGCTTAATCATGTCTCATCAGGCTGATAAGTCTGGGGTCAGAGGTCAGACATCCTCACTGTGCCCAGCTGACCTGGTTTCAGTTACTAAAGCCGAGTTTATCGTTGTGCGTCTTCAGAGAAACGCAGGCACACGCACACGCAAGAGCCCCTTGCGTGTCCCTTGCGTGTCTTTTCTCCCCTTCTTGCGTGCATCGTCCCAGTTTCTAGACTAGAGTCAAAAGCGACGCAGCCTCCTGCAGCCCATTGGTCTGCTAACTGCATCCTTTCTGAGTCTCACATTCCCGTTTTCATATCAAAACAAAGACCTTTGAAGAGCAAACAAATCAGATTGAAGAGATTTTGTCGGAAGAAATACGACCACTTCTACAAGCCGCCATTGGAGGACTATGAGGACGCGCGGATGGCCTCCGATTCGTGGAGGGAGATCTCTGCAAACGTCGGTCGAGGGGAACAAAGTTGTGGAGGAAAAGACGCGAAAGACCGGCGATAAAAAGCAGCAGTGGTGATGCACGGGGCAATAAAGTCTCTGCTTCCACAAAGGACTTCCACACACAAAGACGTCCCTCTGTAGGTCGCCTTCGACCAAACACGTTACTCCACCTGGTGTTCTGGCGGTGAATTGCTTTGCAACACATGCAAGACTTTTAGAACCATGAATTAAAAACGAGTCCATCGACACGACTGCGCGAAAAGACGCAGTTGGAGAAGCATGCCGGCGCCTTAAGCTACTCGTATATCGTATTCATCATTGCATACAGAGGACACAACGGGTGGGACGTCTTTACTGAGTGACCACATGGTGACTGAGCTCATGTGAAAGAGGCTTTTCGTGGCGCGGCGTTAAACTGCTTCATAATCCGTTTACGCTTTCATGCTCGAATGCGTCGCCTGACGTTCACTTCCTGTGAGGAAATTCATACAGAAGAGATCTATGGGACGTCCCGGGGACTGAAGGTCAAAGGGCTCTCAGGCATTAGTGCCCGAAAAAAACACACACGGCTTCCACAGAAGCTGCTACAAAAAACATAATTGAAATAGTGCATTAAAGATATGAGTTAAACTATTGACAACAAAATATGTCCATTCAGAATGCAGAGCAAAAGTATTTAGCTTTCAGCAACTATGTAACAATATGTTAAACAATAATTTATTTTTTAAATCAATTAATTCCAGAGAAGAAAATATTTTAATGTGTTTTGATTTTTTTTGCTGACAGAAACACGATTTCATGATGTTATCGTGATGTCTATAGAAAAATAAAAAATGATCTTTGGCTCTGTTTGGTCTGACTTTTGTTTCCTGTTTTGGGCCAATGAATAATATTAAAACTAGGAGTGTAGTACTGCAACCTTAACTTTATGTATAAAGGGATCATTTACTGTATATTATGTTATTAACGTGGTATCAATACTTTGGTTACACAGGTTTAAGAGCTTCGTGGTTCATGTGTTACTGTTTTAGTTCAATAAGAACGAGGAAGTGTTGAGCTCATCTGATATTCTTCACTCTTTACTAGAATAAGTTTTGATTTGACTGGTCAGTGTTTTCTAAAATAGAAAACACCTTTCCCATCTTTCTTTATATTTCATGGCGGTTTCTGCGAAGCGGCGGGATTACTTTGAGGCTTCTGGGAGCTGCGGGATCTATTCCTGAGGCCGTAATCACAGACCAGTAATCGGGCCACATGGACGCAGGTCCAGCTTCCTGCCTCTGATGCACAATTATCCAAAAGAGGCTTAAAAACAGCACAAAACCCGCGTGGACGAGTAGAATAAACACATTTATGGGAGAAAACGGGATTGACTTCAACTATCTCTAAATTTGATTTGTTATGAAGTGGAAGTGATGGTTAAAAAGTGGCTCAGCTGTTCTGAACATGTCTGTTTATATGTGCAAATAAAGTTATCAAATATGTCCATCGGATAAAAGTCTCTTTCTATTATTATTTTTTGACATTTTCATTAATAATAAGAATAAAAAGTCTTTTAGAACTGAAATGTCGTATAAGTCAGGTGATGATTGACATGTGATCAAACCCTTCAGAATGAAGAGAAATCAAAGCATAAAGAAGTGGAGATTTTCACATTTTGTACAATTTTGAAGAAGCTACATGTGAGTAGTATAAAAAACTAATACATATCGAATATATATTGACATGAAACTTCTTCAGAGCATTATTTCTCTGCGATGCTGTGTTTAAATATGCAAAGGAGGCATTTGCTAAGTTTGAATTTAGAAGAAATCTACCGTCACAAATAAAGTAAGATGAACACTTAAATATTGCATCTATGTTGTTTCATGGCCTCCGGTCTCCCGTGTAGTGTTTCTCCTTGTGAAGCACGTTGAAGGAACTGTGTTTATCAGAAACGGGTCATTTTTAAATATCATGAAGTCATAAACGATTTCACTTCCTACTTTAGAGTTTGAGTGTGCATGGATGCTAAGCTAGCCAGCTAACCAGCAACTACATCAATTTGATGATACAACATCGACTAATATCAAATACATCATTCAGCTTTCTGCGATTTATGGATCCGACATAATGTCTCTTTAACTAAACGTGATCTTTACTCATCAAAGTGAGACAAGAATGAAGGAACATTTTAAATAAAGTCTTAAAGATGCTCATAAACAACCATCTGAACTATTTGGGTTGTTTTTGACTTCATAAAGCGGGTTTGGTGAAACATTGAAGTATTGATTAGTAAAGTATTATGAATATATATATTAAATATGTTTACACTGGACAATTCAAAGTTAAAAATAATAAATATAAATCATTTCTGTCGTACTTAAGCCCCTCAAGGTGAAAAGAGATCTTCAAACCGAACCGTAATCGTTCATTTCTCCACATCTGCCCTGGCGCTGACGAGTCGGACGCAGCGCGAGCGGCGAGTAATCCCGCGAGTTACGCAACGCGCCGACATCCGTCCAGACTAAAGCTTCAGATGTTAAACAATAATCCCGAGTGGCGGCCAATCAAGAGCCGCGGCGGCCATGTTGCGCCCGCGGTGTTTCGGCGAGCGGGAGTCAGACGCAACGAGGGCCGCGTTTTGCACGAGAGAATACGGCAGCAACATCGTCAACACGCTTTGATTCGTGTCGTTCACGTGTTCATCCGTGTTCATCCGTGTTCATCCGTGTTCATCCGTGCCTCAGCTTGTGTCTCTGTAATTGTTTCAGTTGTTCGCGTGTCTGTGTGTTGATTCTCAGTCTGTTTGTGCTCGTTTTCTTTTGGCGGGTCTCACATAATGAGTCTCTTTGTAGCCGTTCTATGTCTTTGTAGCCATTTTGAGTCTATCTGTGGTGTTTCTCTATTCTTGGGGGTGTGATTTGTCTCCGTGGCCCCTGACCCTTTGGCCCGCGTCCTCCAGGAATCCCTCTGTTGTTGTTTATCCTCAAACGCCTCATTTAAAATGGGCTAAGCGGCACAGAACGTTAAGACTCATTAAGTTCTTTGTCTACCACACTCGCCGTGATTCTCTCCCCTCAAGCCTCCAAGACCTCCTGGCTGCTCCCGCTGAGCGCGGCCCTCTTACCGTGAAAGTCTGATCCCGCGCAGGTAGAATCCCGGGGAGATGGTGGAGACGAGCGTAAGCACAGAAAAGAAAAGAAAAAAAAGAAAGTATTTTATGTACAAAGGTGAGTCCCGACGAGCTCCCTCAGACCATCGTGCTCTTCTTCTCCCTGAAGTCCGACTCCGCCGGCTCGTGGTAGGTTGTGATCATGTTGGCCGCGTCCCACCGCCCCTTCATGGCCGGGGAGGTCTGCATCACCACCAGCCTGACGGGGGACTGGGTCGGCACCGGGTCCGGGGCGTACTCCTTGGTGGGATCTTTGCCCCGGCAGTCGTACATGATACACGATATGAGGAAGACCAGGAGCAGGATCACGTAGCTGGCGATGAGGATGCAGAGGTTCAGGGTGACCGGGTCGATCTCCTGGTAGTTTTCCAGAAAGCCCATGGTGCCCGCTTCATGCTGGGGGGGCCCGCGAGGCCTCGAAGAACAAGCGCCGGAGGCAGAAGGGAAGGTGGGAAGGTCGCGCGGCTGCGGCGGACTGAGGAGCACTGAAGCAGCAGGGCGTTCTCCCTCCCTGTCCTCGTCAATCTGTCTCCCCCCTTCCTCCCCCCCCCCCCCCCCCCCGCCCTCCCGGCGCTTCTGTCTTTCACCTCTCCGTTTCACATGAGCGCCGCGGCTACGTGGCTTTGTGGTAAAAATACTTTAATCCGCGCCGCTCCTCCTCCGACCTTCAATTCCTGCGATCGATGGCCTTCGCTTTAATAACTTAAGCTCCAGTAGTAACTCTGCGATTGTGACAGGCTGTGTTATATCATCTGCTTGCAAATGGACATTAATTAATGTGTGTGTGACGTATTTAAGTGTGTGTGTGTGTGTGTGTGTGCGGTGTAATCTTAATCTTGATTGTGAGTGGGGATTGACGGATGAAGCCATCTGGCTAAATGGAGGCTGCGGAGCGCGGCTAAAAGAGCCACTCGAAAAAATGCTAACACACCAGCAGAACACGTTAGCAACCGAGGCACACGAGAAAGACGTTCCCTCCGTGACCTATGACCCCACATCATTTAGTCCTAACTGTAATCTGGACGGATTACAGCAGCCCTCTCCTTCCCCCCGTGTGTCAGACCCTTCGTTGCAGCGGACGAGGGAATCAGAGGCGGGATTATCTGCAAGCCCCTCTGGGTCATAATCTCTGCTGGTGCACGGCACGGCACGGCACGGCCTGCATGAATGAATGAACCGCGTGTCGAGGGGGGGGGGGGGGGAACGGCATCTGCACCGCACCTGGAGCCTCATTTATAAAACCTCGCGTAGGATTTGCGGCAGAAGTGGCGTACGGATGAAAGGTAGGACGTGCGTACGCACGGAAATACGTTTCATCCGTGCAAATCCTACGCAAGGTTTTATAAACGAGGCCCCTGGGCTTTTTGGTGCAGCTCTTGGAGGGAGACAGCAGGGGGCGGCAGTGAGCAGCGGCAACGCTTTCTTTGCGGTCACGTTTGAGTTGACTCTTAGTTTGCATGTCTGCAGAATCAAGTCTGTGTCGCAGCTCCACACAAAATGATGCATGTTAGAAGGAGATAAATGAATTGGATATGTGAGTGTGACGGACACTGTCGACCTCGATGCTCTGCTCAAAGGAAGCGACTTAAAACAGGGGATGGGGGGCGGGGGGGGGGGGGGTATATATGTTTCTTCCAAAAAAAGGGATTTGTGCAGTATTTTCAAAGGGTGCAGCGTTTAAGAAGAGCGGGTTTGGCTGAAACCACTTTTGAAGCGATATTTTAAAATTCAGGATTATTAAGGATTATTTGAACAGAATTGTTCTGATGCTGAATGACAATTGTTTCTTTACAGGTCATTGCTGGTTTCTTCTGTCTTCTCTTATTTCATGTTCTGGTGTCGTTTAGCATGAGACCATCTGGGATAATTAAATGTTGAATAAATACGTTTATGAGTTTATTCACACTTCTGTAATGAAACCAACAGAGAGGAATTTGAGTTGTGACCTACAACGTGTTACAAAATGAAAGAAGTTTTGATTCTTCTGCTACTGAAATCCTTCAGAGTCGGCGTCTTCACTCATGAACATATAAAAACTAAACAGGCAACACACTGACAAAGGTATTCACAACATAAACACAGAGAGCACCAAGTGGAGCTCTAATCGGCCTTTTGGCTCTGCTGTTTCCTGCCCGCTGTGTGTGTGTGTGTGTCTGTGTAACTGCAGATGTGCATGTTCCAGCTGTGGAGCAGAGAGCGACCTCGCTCCTCTCCTCGTGTGAACCCTGTAAGCCCCCCGTGTTCCAGCTCACATTCAGGGACCTGCCAGCGCGGAGAAGGAGAGAAAAGGCGCTCTGATGACGGGCTCCGGTCAGCATCTGGACGGCATCACTTCAGTAACATGTGTCCTCATGACGATTGATTGCTGTTCACGTAACAACGGGGATTATCGAGAGAAGGTTTCATAATCAGTCAGGATTAACTGTGTCATTTGGATTGGAAGCGTGTGGCTGCATTTTAACTGAAAGTGGCTCCAGTATTAAAACATAACATGTTCATATCTATTCTATTTCTACTCGTCGTTGAGCAAACATCAGTCCTGGTCTCAATGGCGACCAAATGTTCATCCATGTTTAACCCTTCGAATGTCACTTTGTTTAAACAAAATAAATGTATTTTTGTATTATGTTCTTTCTTCAATGCTAAAGCTATATATATATATATATATATATATATATATATATATATATATATATATAGATAGATAGATCTTTACAAATTTACAAATTATTATTATTGTCTCTTTTGGAAGTTTATTCTTTTGTTTCAGTTTTAGTTTATTTTATTTAATATTTCTATCTTATTATATTGTATATAATGTGTATCTTTTTATTCTATTTTCTTCCCTGTACATGCTGCTGTGACACCAAAATTTCCCTCTTAAGGGATCAATAAAGTATTAATCTATCTATCTAGATCGATCATAGTGGAGACCAGCATGTATCAAACAGGACAAAACATCTCAATCTGGTTATTTTTTTTTTTAAGTATCAAGCAGAATTACCATTTGGCCCTTTGGTTATTCTTTTAGTTTTTTACCACGGACCCTCTTATTTAAGCTGAATAAAGACAGAAAAGATTTAGAGCCCTGAAAGCACGTCAGAGGAAGAGCGGCGTTTTGTGCTCTCGGGGAACGATTAGCTCAGAGGATGCAATAGGTTGGTCCGTCTGCGTGTTCGTGTGTGTGCGTGTGTGCGTGTGTGCGTGTGTGTGTGTGTGTGTGTGTGTGCAGGCCTCGGGGGGAGTTTCTCCTCCTCATATCTGGGAGGTAGATCTTCCCCAGCGCCAGACGCTGGTGCCAGGGAGTCCGGCGGCCTCGGCGGGGGCCTGGAGACCAGAGAACAGGGAGAGAGGGGAAAGGATGTGTTGACAAACCAAGGGGGGGGGTCTCCGGCTCTCTTCGGGGTTCTGACCGAGACGGGGGGACGGGGGGGGGGGGGGGTTGTTTGTTGGTTTTCACAGCGTGAGGCTGAGTCTCCCTCCTCTCGAACCGACACAACGTGACCTCGCCTCTGATCTCGCACCATCAACCAACACCCCCCCCCCCCAAAAAAAACAAGTGAGGTTGGAGAAACGGGCCGTGAAGTGGATTTGATGTGACCTCACTCGAAGGGAACATCTGCGATTCTCCTAGTGAGGCTTTTTACTTTAGAAAACAAGAAAAGAGTCGTAAACAGGGCAGAATACCGACAGTCATCCATCAGTTAATCAGCCACATCCTCTGCAGGGAATATTATTCATTTTAGAGGTTGGATGAATTAAGAGTTAGAATCCCCAAAGTCATTAAAACACATCCTGAGAGGAGCATCAGATTTCACCCAGGTCGTCTGCACATTTTGAGTTCAGCATTTTGCTCGTCATCATCTCGTTGTTTTTTTTGCAATCAGAAGGGAAACAAAAGATTGAGGCTTAGCAGCACCGAATGCTGTAAAAGGCATTTTTCTCTTTGGTCTGTTAAACTCTAACAGGACAATAATTTACTGCGTGAACATCATGCTGTATTGAAGAAGACTTAAAACTACAGATTATGACCATAAACTCATAATAATAAATCAAGAGAGAAGTAGTTGTGTTGTGATAGCGATCTGCCCCCTGGTGGCCACTAAGAACTACAGCTTCCTGCTTGGCCGAGAATTACCTACATACAATATTCAATAGCACATTGGTAGAATTAGTAGTATTTAGCAGATTCTTCTTCTACTATTTATGTTTTAGTTTCTTTAAAATCCAGAGGCCTTTATGTGACACTGAAGCTGCAGTGGATCCAACAACAGAAACGCTTGAACGTAACCTCGGACACCACATATGGGAACTCAGGTTTCCCCTGTCATGGCGACAAAATGTTGTGTTACACAACAGAACGGGTCTGGTTACAACCTACCACTCATGTCGGGGGCGGATGGGGGGTGGGGGGGGGGGGGGTATCTAGGTATCTGGTTCAGTGTGGAGCGGCCTGCAGGTCGGGGGGAGGCGCTGGGCAGAGGTGCTGTTACGCGACCAGGAGAATTAAAAGCTTACGTGTCGAAACCAGACGGGGAAAAATAAAACTAGTATTTCCTTTGTTTCACGGTCTTATTCAGCACCCTGAACATTTCAATCTGATTCATTAGACTACAACCGCTCTGACCGTGTCATACATCATATACGTCACACACATATTAAGCCTCCTCTGATGACCTCATCTTAAGCACGCAAACAGAAGAAGAAGAGGCGGGAGGGCGGGCTCTCACCTCTCGAGTGACAGAGCGAGAGCCGAGGATCGTTGAGATCTGATAAAGGGCCCAAAGAGAAGCCCTTTCCTTCCTGAGCGGCGGACTGTTTGTGTTACAGTGTTGCGCGTCTCTTCTTCTGGGTGTGGGAACCTGGTGGCTTCCTCTTCGTCGAGGGCCGCGCGTGTTATCATTCAGGGGGTTGTGCGCCGGCCTTGGAGACCCCGCAGTGTGTCTGACTTCGGGCCCCGTCGCACAACGAAAAGACACACAGCTCAAAAGTTGTATAATTGTATTGATTTGTTTGTGATGTGTTGACATGTCCATCCATCCAATATCTTTAACCCCTTTAACCCTTTATCATAATGGAAGATAATTGTTTAAGTGGGTTAAATAACGTGGTTTATAAAATCTGACAAAATGATGAATAGTAAGAATACAGTATTTTACAGTAAACCCAGGTTTTTATAGTGACTTTCCTTTAATTTACGAAGACAATAACTCGTCGGTGTAGAAGTGAAATGTGGTGACAGCGCGCTGGAATGTCTGCTGGGCCTTCTGACAACACAAAGAACATGAAAACACGCACAAACCAAGCCCTCGGATTCTGCAGGAAGACGCTTATTATTCTCCTCGTTTGTTCAGCCTGAAGCTGTGAGACGGGCTCCTGGCGTACGCCGTCCCGGCAGCTCCTCCACCAGCACCCCGAGACCTCGCCCGAGCCCCCCTCCCCCAACAGGGGCCTCGGTGACGCCGGTGGCACTCTGGAGAGTGTGTGTTTTGTGAGGGGGGGGGGCAGAGGTGTTTTCTGCTGCT